TCTATCTATCGATCGAATTTTATAAAATTTTGCTGGAATAAAAAATCTCTTATCAGTGCAGTGCCCCCGCAAAATTTCCACTCAAAGGCGCGCTTTTTATATTGTAAGGCACTACGTTATTATTTCTATTTTTAACTTTGCAAGAATTTTACACTGTTTCTTCCAATCTTTTACTTTTAATTGCGTATGTTAGCGTTCTTTACATATTTAAGAGAAAGTCACTGCACGTTAATTCCATCAGTTTGCTTTCGTTCAACATTGTTCGCATAGAATGTGTTGATTTTATAACTCAAGTCTGAATAGAAGTTTCCATGAAGAGATTGAGGCAAACGGCTCGGAATTACCGCGCGAGCAATTTCCTTGAAGCTAGCTGCATCTAGAAAAAGGAGAAAAGAACTCCGACCCTTCGTACCGACGACACCTGACAAGATGACGCCATCATCTTCATTCTTGGCCCCAGGTCTCTCTATAAACACTGGCTCGGATGGAAAACACTCTTTTTCATACCACGTCTTTTTTTGTTTAGAAACCGTGTCCAATTTAACGAGCTGGTCAAGGAAATGGCCGTGCTTATGTGGTCCTGTATGTCAGTAAATAAAAACAAGTGAAAATTTTTAAGAATATTAAACCTCCAGCCGTAGACGTCCTTTTGAGGAAGACAGAGCACTCGTTTTGTGTAAGTACTGTACATCATATTTGTGTTGATAATTTGAAAGAAACAATATTACCTGTGCCATAAATGTATTTATAATCCAGTCCATTCTGACGATAGTTGATACGAGGCAGCTCAAGATCGACGCCTAAGATTTCGTACTGCATGCGAGGATTCTGGGATTTAGACGCATCTTTACCGCGAGGTATTGGAAGCCTGTATCTTCTTACCTCGGGATCAGCGAAATTATCACTCACCTCAAATTAGAAAGGACATGACATATCACATGTCTTCATATGGAAATATGAATGGTGAAACTTACCCTCTCAATAGGAGAGCTTCTTAAATGATGCAGATAATATTGGTCAATGATTGATGCATCTGGATAACAGCACAAATCCACCACGACTTGTCCCTCGTTATCCTCATACGCGTTAACGTGATGAAAGCAAAAGAAACTTTGGGCGTCGTAACTTGCCACGCATGCGCCAGAAGCTCGTTCCATCAAGTGAAATCTACGATAGAAACATTGAAGACAGCTGACGGCTACACTCATTTCTTTGATATGTATGGGATTCATTACCTGGAAGGTGTTTTAGCGTTCCAGTGCATACAATCGTGAAACGATCTGTGATCAATTTTCATCTTTAACACTTGCAAAGTATTGACAGTAAATGGATTCTCGACAAAAATAAAATAATTTGGTGTCAAGCCAAAACTATGGTAATAACTCGGACTTATTGGCGCTTGAACGAATGCGGCGATCTCTGCTCCTTGCAGGGGGTGCTCGACCTTAATGTGCTCCGCGCGTTGAGCCGGGGGGATTTTTACAACATTGTATCGAGTGAATCTACCAACTGATGTCATCATGTGGAAGACGCTGCCGTCGCTTTCTTCATGAGGATGGGCACAGGCAAACACGAGTCTTGCAGCTGTAAACAAGAGATTGCTTTCAATGGCTTTCTAAGTTACGCGCTGGGAAAACACGTGATAATATTTGCTTTGACATGCATGTATTAAAGATAGACAGGTTTTGTTCTAGTGAGTGCGCGAGGCTGATCATAAGATAGCTCATGCTGTGAACCACTTCAAATATTTGAGGTTTTCTCTCTGCTGTTGCCATGGCTTTTGGGGATTAAAATTTTTGGAGACGTGTCTTATACACAGGTCAATGATCATTCAATATTATATGATGTATACATACATTTGATGTCAGTTTTTGCATTCGCTGACTGAAGTAATTCAAGAGTGTTAGGATCGATCTCGTTCATATAAGGTGAATCGCTGTTTGCATATATCTTTCCTTTCATAGTAAACACGTTCACAGCCGTGTTGTCTGTTCTCTCCGGCGGCTGGAAGTAGGAGAAAAAACGAGCAAATATATTCTTGCAAGGATCTGGGACTTCGGGTGTTCCAAATTCCGCAAATGGTATTCTTTGTTCGCTGCTGCCTTTCGTATACGCTTTCGTCTCTAAGTATTTACTATGGAATCTTACTTCGCCTTTTTCTATGGTGAAGGAAAGGAGAAGGGACAGGCCGTCGAACCAGTGTTTGTAAGCGTGCTTTCCAAACTCGTATTTTGCTGGAGCATTACGTAGTAATGTGCCATTAAGCCATTCTGGAATTATACCTTTAACAACGGTATTCACCTTCTCAGGGGTTTCTTGGACGGTTTCAAAAAGTTCATCCATTTCTGTAATTTAGGATTGTTTTGTTTTCGCTCTATTTTGCCTTCTTGATTTTCTCTTTTCTCGTTAGCGTTTCGTGTGAATGTGATCAAAACGATTATTTTCTCGACTAACTCTATTCCGATGAAACGATGGTCTTCGCTGATTATTGGCTACTACAGCCAATCGTAGTCATTTTAGGTTTATGTGAAGCACGTGCAGTTATCAAGGAGTATCTTAAGCCTTTGTTAATCGTCTTGGCCACGTCAGTGACGTCACTCTAAGTTCTATCAAATGGATTTAGAAAGAAACAGCCAATCGGCTGATTACAGAGGATTTTTGGTCACAAATAGATCTAGACTTTGAGCACTACTGTACTTTAATGAAGTACTGACAAAAATCAACACAATATAGTTTTGTTTGTTTATTTATTATCAACAAAAAAATTATTCATATTAAGTATAAATACAGGTATAAATTTTCAAAACGTCTCCATAGTGTTCAATGTGTACAGAGCATTACTCCTTCTCTTTTACATTTTCTGACTCCAGTAAGGGTTTTGGTTCAGGGTTGCGATGTAGGGGGAATTGTTCCCAAGGACTTTGAAGATCAAATTTCCTGAATTCTTGAGCCAATTCGATTGGTTCAGAAACAACTCTTTTCAGCTCATCATCCCAGCGTACCTTATATGGAAAATTAAACCGTTTAGCTTTCAGATTTTCCATAACCGTATAATGTGGAATTTTGTACCTCAACATATCCTGATAAGGGAAAGTCTTTTCTACATGGATGGCCTTCAAAACCATAGTCGGTCAAAATTCGTCTCAAATCTGGATGGTTGGAGAAAAATATACCAAACATATCCCAAATCTAGAAAATTGACATAGAATATAAGTACATGTAGCACTATTGACTTTAATTACTGCATACCTCACACTCAAACCAATCTGCAACTTTATGCACTGGATATGCTGAGTCTAATGTAGCACTATTGACTTTAATTACTGCATACCTCACGCTCAAACCAATCTGCAACTTTATGCACTGGATATGCTGAGTCTAATGTAGCACTATTGACTTTAATTACTGCATACCTCACGCTCAAACCAATCTGCAACTTTATGCACTGGATATGCTGAGTCTAATGCTGTTAGCTCGTCTGTATATGTTTTTATACGAATCCTTGAATTGAAACGTAACGAAAGAAGGTTGTAGATGACCTAAGAAAGACAATAAATTTATTGGTATAAACATTTCATGAATAAAGCCATCATCAGAGTATATACAATAAACATTGTATATACTCTGATTATTACATTATTGTATTATGTATTTACAATAAACAGCACATTTATTATTTATAATGCTGACTTGCTTTTCCATTATATGCACATTCCATGATATCAACTATCTTATGAAGTTAAAACTTACCTCAAACCTGTTGTGTCTACCGGGCACGTCGATAGCAGTAATGTCTGCCAAGGATTTGAACTGTGCATTGGTGTGGTCATGCAGATATGTGAGGACTGGCAAGACTCCTTCTGGTGCAATAAGTATTTCCAATTCATTATTATTAGTAACTTGCGTTTGTTGCACATATCTTGGCAAAACTTTACCAATGTATTCGCCATATTCCGACAATCTCTTACGGACAGGATCTTCTGAAGTTGTATAACAATAAAAAAGTCAATAATAACCGTAGAAAGGACAGCAATTTGAAATTCTTGAACGATATATTTCAACATAAAACGTGGCCTACGACAGTGACTGAGAAATACTTAACACTTTTACATGTATAGGTGATAACAGTACCTCTTACTGCAGGTTGAGTTGTTAAGGTTCGTTTGCCAAATTTGCCGCAGAATGAAAGTTGTCCTGTGAAAAAAAGCCATACGAAATTTACCAAAGCTGCATTGACTGTAAAGAAATGCGCACAGTTTTTTACCATCAACGTATTTTGGAAAAGAATGTCCAATGTTTCTAGCATTATTAGGATGAAAAATGACACGGTAAAGTCGACCAATTGCCGCCATCTTGCTTTCTTCTACTGCTTCGTATTGCGACACAGATTTATAGATCAGTGAGTAATCAACGATTGGTAAAACTTACCATTCGCGCTAGCGGGAGTAATCATTGTACAGACAGTACTGTGCGTATGTTACCATTAAAAGTTGGGATGTTTGTTTAGGAAACTGAAAACATCACCAATCTACTAGTGTGCTCCTGGAACTGTCTTGTCACAGACTCACAGTCAAATCTAACTGCCTGGTGAATTTGCCTGGCGTTCTTCTGTCCTATTATCAAAAATTGCGTAACTCCTCGCGCGGTTTCTAGAACGGGTCCACTTTCATGATAGTGATTAAAATTTAATTGAGCAGGTCGGTGTAGTTCAGTATGGCTGATAATGTAGAAATGAATGTACATAAAAATACATCAGACTTCAAACGTCCAATAAAACCGTACAAGGTGGCATTTGCTGGAGTTTATAGCGTTGGAAAGACCAGTTTATTTCGCAGGATTAACGGCCAATATTTTACCGAAGAGAAGCCACCATCTCAGGAAAATTCGACTTATGATCTTATTTTTCCTGAGGAAAATGTGGTTATTCCGGTGAGATTAATTAATTTATCGTTGGTTTCCTGCCTGTGACGTGGTTCAGTCTCAGAATTGTCTTTGACTGTGACTAAAACAACAAAAGTTTTGAAAATAATGAATTAAACATGCGATAGTAACCTAACGTTGAAGGTATTCAAATAAATAAATAGTTCATAAAGTTCAATATAGGCTTAACTACACAATATATACCAAAACTGGTACCCTTTGAACCCTGCCATGGTTTATATTATGGTGTTTACAAGAATATTTCCCACCAGATATTTAAACAGGCCATCTTCAGTGGCTGCCATTTCAAATTCCAACAGTCAATAATTTTGTGCCATAGTGGATTTAATCCATGTAAAATTTTTGTTTGACTTCAGCTCAAATTTTGGGACACTCAGGACATGGAAAGACACGATAGTGTCACACAGTCTTACTACAGAGGAAGTGTATTCATCTTGCTTGTTTACAGTGTAGATAATGACAGTTCATTAGATGACATTCCATCCATCATTGACAACATAAAGAGAGACGAACCTACTGCTAAACTTCTCTTATTGAAAAATAAAATTGATCTGCCCAAAGATGAATGGATTTTAATGGACAAGGAAGAGACTGTGCTAAGGAGAACAAATGACAAGATTTATAAAAAATTTTCCACATCTGCAAAAACAAAGGAAGGCATTGATACCTTGATGGAAGCACTGAAAAAGAGTTCCTTGCAACTGTTCAAACGGGCAGAAAGTGGGCATGAAGACATTAAAGACCTATTATCAAACCGTGATAAAATAACAAAAGACAAAAAAAGTTATCAATGTTGTAGTTGAACGATCTTCTCAGATTGGTCAAATATGTAATCATTGGGTCCATTTCAATAATGACTTAAAAGCTTGTAATTATTACAGGCAGGTTAGGGAAATACATGTATTATCTTTGACTAAATAATATACAGCATCACATTTTTGATTTTGGTTTTTGTGATGTCTTCCTTATCATTGCTTCAAGCATATCCCATTGTTCATTGGTTACCTAAAAGTTAAATTGAGTTGTTTTAGCTTTTAGAGGAGGAGACAGTTTTGGGCTTTACCAGTTACTATTTACAAAGGGTGGCTGTCGTCATCAAAAAGCCAGTGAAAGAATGCCTGATGTGAAAGTTAATGCTTTGTTGATACATGTTAACTTCACAGCAAAAAAAAAAGTTTAAAACATCAGTACAATGACACAATTTCATTTGCATTCCATAAAAATTCGTTAACTGGCACATGTCAGTAGATGAGTTTACATGCATGAAAGCTTACTTGCACTAAGCCATTAAACTCGCCAGCCATGGCCGTTTCTCCACCATCAAGGTTAATTACCTATGCAATTCAAGATTTGTTGTTCATTAAAATAAAAATTGAGTTGAAGCCTGCATCTATAACTGCAACAAAGTAACACAAACCTCTCCAGTCAGCCAACTGGAGTAGTCGCTAACAAGGTAGGCAGCCAAATTTGCAAGTTCATTGATCTCACCAAGACGAGTTGTGGGAAGACGTTTGATTAATTTCTCTTTAAATTGACCAGTCGGATCTAGTCTTGAAAAAGCACCCTTGATGTGGTACAACCAGTGATAAAAACATACAATATACAAATAATAAAGAAGAATTTCAGCAGTCTCCTACCTCTGTTTCAATTGGACCAGGTGCGATAGCATTGAATCGCAATCCATATCTTCCCCACTCTGCTGCTAAAGATCTAAAGGTGTCTTTAAAAGTTATAATGAATATTGATATAGAAAACAGCACTTAAATCATGCTTTTACTTAGTCATTGTTTCAACTCCTGCCTTGGCTGCAGCTGAGGGTACCACAAAACCAGAACCAGTTTTTGCATAAACAGTGGTAATTGCCAAGAAGTTGCAAGATTTTCCAGCTTTAATGAGACGCTTGCCAATATCAAGAGTTACATAGGCCGTGCCATTGAGCACAATGTCTACAATTGTTTTCCAAGCGTTGGGTGAGAGTCGTTCAGTAGGAGAGATGAAATTACCGGCTGCATTGTTGATGACAATGTCTGGGAGGCCAAACTTTTCAACACATGCGTCAACTGCACTTTTTATAGCTTCTGGATCTCGTACATCTAGTTGAATGGGAAAGACCTAGCCAAAATATGTATAGGTTTCAAGGAGATGTGATGTGCCTAATGATGTCATAATGGGCTAGGTACCTCGTTTTTTGTGTCCTGTGAAAGTTCTTCAGCAGTCTTTTGTAAAACATCTAATTTTCTTAACGTACAAAACACGAAGATATTTTATTGGAATGATTCACAGATTAAGGCCATTATACTCCATTTATAATGAACTGATGATGCAGTGCATACCTGCTAGCAATAATGACGGTTGCACCAAGTGCAGATAACATCTTAGCCATTCCCTTGCCAAGACCTGTCCCTCCACCTGTGATAAATGCTGTTTTATTCATTAAACTGTTTTTGGGCAACATAGGCTCGGCTCGTGGAGGAAATTTCTTGCCGCTCATTGCTCTAGCCTTTATCTGAAACAAATTTCTTTCAAAGTTTCGTGTCCTGACAAGTAACCGTAGGGAAAAATAGAAAGATCTAGGCATAATGTAACCTTAGAACTTATTATATTGTACATAGACCGTTCAAATATATTTATTTTAGTCGTAAACAAAAACCAGGGGGGTGCGTGTACTGTATCTACTTCGATACACACGTGAAGTATTTTTAGACAAATGTCGTCTTGTCTTACATAAGTTAAATAATTTGCGGTAGTTTTTTATACATTTGATTTGTCTCCACTTAAAAAGTTGAAAAAAACTTTTGAATTTTAACAGTGTACACCTCGCCACCGCCACCGAAATTGGAGCGAGCAAATTTACAAATAATGGCTGATACTATTTGCAAAAGGTTTAGTCCAATGACAGGACGAGATGAATGGTGTTTTATGGAAGATGGTTATGACCACAGACAGGACATTCTTAGGTATTGTTACACTTCATTACATTGTGTGCTTAATTATTGTTTATTAACATTTCAATCCCCGAGGATTGGGCTCATAGTTTAGCAGGACAAACTGTCTAGTTACAACGGGGAAAGCAGAAGAGAAGAGGGTGGAGATGTCACAATCCACAATGCTGACTTATTCTTTACAATGCTGACTTGTTCTGCCTTAAGATGCACAGAAATGACATAATTTATGTCAATTTATAAATCTATACATACTAAAACCCCCTCTGTTTGCAAAGAGTCGCTGCTCCTACTGGTTCAGCACTGTTTAATCGTTAGTATTTGCTGGAAATATGCTATTGATCAACTTGCAATATTTTCATCTTGTGTTTGAATGGTCATCTATAAGTACAAATGACATTTATGTCATTTTTTATACAGATCTCTTTTTGGTGATATGCTTCACGATAAAGAAAGGGTATGATAATATTAAATCTTTAAAAATTTAATATAACGCATTCCTTCAATGACAAATGCTCTCTTGCATTTGATGTGCTTATTTAGACTCGTCAATCATGTATTGTAGAACAAACAGTATTTCAGAGCAATATTTAAAGAAGTTAAAAGATTTTTAAACATGGGTGTCAATCCTTTATGTCTTGATATTGGCACCGGAACTGGTTTGTTGTCCATGATGGCTGCTAAATCTGGAGTCAAGAGAATTGTAGCTTGTGAGGTGAATATGTTAGGTGTTATTGCTAAATCTGGAGTCAAGAGAATTGTAGCTTGTGAGGTAAATATGTTAGGTGTTATTGCTAAATCTGGAGTCAAGAGAATTGTAGCTTGTGAGGTGAATATGTTAGGTGTTATAACTTCCTTTGTTGTGTTTTGTTGCATCTCAATGTGCATCTGTGTACATACTGGCAATTTTGGTTACTGAGACACATTCCCATCAGCTTCTTTCCAACTTCATACCATACCTACCTTTTTTACATGTTTCACAAGAACATAGGGTGTCATAGCCCCTCACCTGCATAATGTGCAAATATTATGTGTTATTTACATAACATACTGACAGACCACATTTCACTTCAGGCATTTATGCCGATGGCTAAAGTGGCGAAGAAAATTGTTAAGGAAAATGGGTTTGAAAATGTGATTACCGTAGTTCCAAAGAGCTCTATGGATATGTCAGTACCTAGAGGTATACGAATGTCAAAATAATGTGTTTTATGAACATTTATTTGTCATATCTTGCATTCACACTGATATTGTTGTGCCTAATATTTTCATGTAGACATGCCTGAAAAAGCCGAATTGGTTGTGATGGAGCTTTTTGATACAGAGCTCATAGGAGAAGGTTTGCTTTTATCCATGCGCCATGCCTACAGACAATTGGTTAAGGTATATTTATTGATTGATGACTACAGTAAACTTAAAGCATTCAAAGAACTTCATGTCATAATGTTGTTATTTTTATTCAAGAAAAATACCATTGTAGTTCCAGCGTCAGCAACAATTCATATACAGTTGTATCAGTCAGAAAATATCTGGGATATGCATAAATTATCACCAGTCATTGTAAGTGCATAAATTATCAGCAGTCAGTGTAAGTGCATAAATTATCAGCAGTCATTGTAAGTGCATAAATTATCAGCAGTCATTGTAAGTGCATAAATTAAACACATATTTCTTGCACATTGTAAGTGCATAAATGTTTATAGGTATATAAGTGTGCAAAACATGTTCATTGTGTATATCATTTGTGATATAGATTTTCATAAATCATATGCCTATCTCTCCTCCCTTATATTTCTTTGTAACACAGGGCCAAGGCAATGGTAAATTCATCCAAGGTTGCTTTGTACCATTGCAAATTTACTCTATCTTCATGATTGATTATTTGCAAATGTTTTTTATACAGTGTGAAAATGGAAAAACAGCCCTAAGTACACCCCAATCTATGGATCTCTGTGATGGAGCACCTTCTGTTCATGATGTTCAAGCTGATGAATTAATGCAGATGGATTTAAAGCCATTGACTGATCCCCTTGCTGTCCTAAGGTTTGATATAAAGTTGCTTTGATTTCTGTAATTATTGTATTATTCTGAAGATTCTGTAATGGCTAAGAATAAGTTGAAATATGAATAAAATTAAAAGAGTCGACTGCTTCATCATCAGCAGTATTAATGAAACCTTCTACCGACCAGCTGACTGTTTGAAGTGCAAATGAAGCATCTCCCACAATGCACCTAGGCCTTGAACTGTAGAGCCTTGTTTTTCAATTGCCTTAATTTGAACTACGTATATCCTGTGAATCCGCGGTTCCAAATTGATTGACTTAGATGTTTCCCCAGCAAGTAACCGAAGGAAAATTAACGAAAGTTATATCATGGTCTTTTATAATAAGGTTCGATTTCTGTGACAATCCGATAACGAAGCTCAAAGATAAGATTTATTGCGAAACAATGACGGGCGATGACGGCGAAGTACGAAGCTATTGCAGTGACGCGGTTGTGAAACAACGAGGGACTTTGCATATCATCTTAATGTGGTGGGTGTTGCAGATGGATAATGATGGTGAAATCATGCTGAGTATGGCGCCAAAATGGCTAGACACGGGAAAAGCTGAAAGAAATGAGGTATGGTGCTGTGTATGGTAAACACAGACAACTGGAGTTACTATAGTTACGTAGCATTGTTAACGCATGACGTAGCGATTTTATTGTGTCGTTGAATTGTCTAATGTAGTTGTTTTGATTGAATCTATTCTTGTTGTACACCTGTCTTGACAGTTTTCAAAATTACAACATTGTACATTTGTGTCTGTAGTGGCGGGATCATTGGATGCAAGGAATCTATTTTATGCGTTCACCATTAAAGGTTAATAAAGGTAAGGTGTACATTCCACCAATCACGATTATTAAAACTCGTATAAAAATCAAGCATCTTTCTCAATATAACTTCTATATATTTATATTTTTTGAAATATTCACAAGTATAGGAGAGAACCTATCCGTCATTACGACACACGATGATTTTGCATTTTGGTTTGATGTCCGTACTGGATATTCGTAAGTGTGGAAATGTTTTTATCATAATGTACTTAGAAGTCTATGATGTTCATTAATGTCACTGGCGCTTTCGTTAAGATCACAGATACCCCATACTGTACCCAAAGCACCGATATGTACCTGTGGAGCGCACACCGTGTGGAGTCGACAGAGATTCGCCATGGTAAATGATCGCACGAGAAGGAGGCGATTTCTAGGATTTTTCAGAAAGGTATAGAAGTTTATATAAAGAAGTTTTTGAAAAATATCATACTCAAGTTGAAAAAATATATCTCAGTTTCTTTACATCCGAATCGTCTGCATAAACTATTTTTTAGGGAATTTTTTTTCTAAATAATTAATTTAGCTGGTGAGAAATGGAATTTCTGTTGGTCTCGTTGTTAGTGATGGATCTTTGATAAGCATACTGGCTGTTTTAGCTGGTTTCAAAAAGGTGACTGGCATTTTAGTATTCAATATGAACAAAATAGTCGGAATAGCATTTCCTATTTAATCGCCTTATTTTTATTTGTAATAGATTTTAATCCTTCACAATTTTCTTTTCTCAAGGTTTATGTTTTAGAGCCAGAAACTGCGACAAGACGTATAATCAAACAGGTGTTCATTTCTCAAATGTCCCTTGATGCAATTCAAGAAAGATTTGATAATTAAATAGCTTTTATTAGATGGCGCTGGCAAATGGTTTTAAAGAAAAAGTTTGTGTTCTCGCTAAAACCGCTGATCAGTTAAACGATAACGATATTCCAGAAAAGGTAGTGTTTTTGAAGCTTTGTGTTCTTGCTAAAACCGCTGATCAGTTAAACGATAACGATATTCCAGAAAAGGTAGGGTTTTGAAGCGCAAATTGTTGTAAAATAAACAATCGTGATTGGTTTATACATATATTGAAAATGACTTAGATTTTTGTATTTCATCTGCAGATCGATGTTATTCTTGGCGAACCGTTCTTTATTTCGAGTCTTTTACCATGGCATGACATGTACTTTTGGTATGCGTCTAGAGCGGTTATGGAGAACATTGTTAAGAAGAATAGCGTTGTAGTTTATCCAAAATCTTCGCGTCTTAAAGCTTTGGCAGGTATTCTTTAAAATACTTCATTTGGGAAGTTTTAAATGTTATGCCACGCACTTGCAAGTGATAAGGTGTAGAATGGTTTCCTAGTTTGTACTGTACGATATGTTTTATAATGATTCTCAATTAAAACTTCTACATTGACGCGTACATCTTTACTGAGAACTAATATCCATTTTATATTGATTTCGATGGTGTCAAATATTTTTGAAATCCGAGAGTCCCATGACGGAGTGATTTTGATATTCACCTTTAATGAAGTTTACTTTTTCTGAGCTAAATATAAACCAGTGGATAAGTTTGCAGAAGTCGTTATCCAGAACATTAGTTTTTCCTGTTAAAGTAGTCTCCTACGATATTTTCTTCTGAGATGATCATTGCTTCTTTCCTTTTGTTTATATAGTTGAACTGAAGGATTTGTGGAAGATAAAAGCTCCATTGGGCAGTGTTGAAGGATTCGATGTCAAAGCTTTCGACGAATTGATCAATGTAATAAAGAAGCTTCTATTTTTTTATACAATGTTGTAGTATGTGTTGTGATTTCCTCCTCTCCCATTCCTTTCCATTCCTAACCACAACTTCCTCCCCACTCCTCTCTCATTTCCACTCTCTCTTGTCTCACCCCACTCTTCTCTCCTCTCTACTCTCTACTTGCATTCTCTCCCCACTTCTCTTTCCTCTCCACTCTTTCCATTCTCTCCCCACTTCTCTTTCCTCTCCACTCTTTCCATTCTCTCCCCACTCATCCCCTTATTCTATGTATGATTGCAGTCTTCACAATTCTCGACATCTTTATCATTTCAGAGTTGTCGTCTTGAGTGCGAAGAAAATGAAGCTGAACCACATAATTTATGGGAATATCCATGTCGAGCTTTGACCAAAGTTATTCACGTTCAAACTTTTGATTTTGGAAATGCAATTCCTGAGGCGACTCAAGTAATTGATGGAACTGTCGACTTTGTGTGGTACTAGAATTGCACAAGTTTCCATACTGAGTTTTGGTTCTTGTCATGTAAGACAATGTTTAATTGTTAGGGACGGTTTTTGTAATGCAGTTATATTTTGGATGGATTATGATTTTGACGAAGATATGCGCATGTCCACTGGCTTGACTCAGGTAAACGTTTACGTCAGCTCACTGAACTATTAGTGATGATGATGCTACATCTCTTCTCTACTGCAGGAAAAGATAGAGTTCTCTAGTGATGGATATGTTAGAAACTGGGTAAAGTTTTGTAAACAAGGTGTTTACTTTTTACATCAACCACGAGAGGTTTGTGGTTTACAATCCAAATTAAGGTATCTATTGACATTTCATCCCGATAACGGCTTATTGAAGATACATTGCGAAATACTGGACACAAAGTGATGGATTTCATGCGCACTTTTACTATGTACATAGTGGGCAGCACTTGTCTTAGTTCGTTTCCATACTGCTGCGTTTTCCTGACCAATGCAATAATATGGTGGATAAATTGTACAGAAATGAGCTTGCTTTTATTTATTGAGGAAAACTGGATCCTCAGATGGAAGCCATTTTGAATTTAAGCACTGCCGCTGGAAAAATTTTAATGTGAATTTTTATGTATGTTGACTATTCCATCATCGTGAGAAAAGTCGCCAAAGAAAGAATTACATTTAGTTTTAAAGGAAAATGCGAAATTTCGTTTACTGCCATTTGGTGTTAAATTTTTTTCCTTGTCAACTATGTGTTATAGGTTAACCGTAACTTACTTATTCTAATGAGAAAAACTGGTGATTTGTAAGACATTATTCTCCTCGCATATGAAAGTACTTTAACTTGTCTTCTGAACAACGTGCTTCGATGTAATCACAAGAAAGGTTATTTATTTTATATTTTCAAGACAAAACCACGTGGAATTTTTAATTGAGCAATTGTGAAGATACTTTACCACCAGTTTTCCATTCTAACAATTACAGCGATAAGATTGAACTGGTACTAAAGAAACACGTGATTTATTGTCTTGATATAAAACCTCAGCTAGAACCTTGAACGACTCTGGAAATATTAATCTTATAAGTTTTAATCTTATTACAATGAGCTTATTTAGTTGCAAAAAACAAGCATGTGTATTCTTGCTTGTTTGTGTTGTGTCGAGTGTTTTTGTAGAGTGTAGCAGATACACCAAGGATGTTAGTCACTCTTGTATAGGGGAATTTTGTGTGGCAAAAAGTGCGTTTGATGAACCGTGTATGGACTATCGCAAAGTTACTAAAAACATTGAACGCGACATAGATAATGAAGAGGAGGAAGATCACGACTTTATCGACTATCCAAAGGAAGGTTTATTTCGTTGGGATCCTGTTGAGGTAAGTAGTTACGTCAGCGTGTATACATCAATAAAACTATTCATGTTTTTGAAACAGTTCAAACGTGTTTTTGTGTAGATTGGTCACAAGCGTGAGTTGGAACTAGAGGCTGACAAGTTTTATTCAATGATCACACGAGCGATGGAACCTCCAATATTCGGTAGGTGTATGAATAAGGAAAGCTTCGTCTTATCCCATGTTATGTAGAATTTGATATACTTGGGTATAAGATGATATGCGTGGATATAATATGATATATGGGGATATAATGTGATACATGTGGATATATAATGATATACGTGGATATAATATGATATGTGGATATAAGATGATATACGTGGATATAGTATGATATATGTGGAAATCGAGACTAGCGGAGAAAAAACGCTATTAGATACGATATTTTTATTTTCCATAATGTTACATAAAATGTTTGTGATAAAGTGTGATTGTGACATTCTGTATTTGTAGAAATTCCTGGGTTTCTCTCCGATGAAGAATGTGACGGCATCATTGATCGTACAAGAAAACAGGGTTTATTTAACAGTGATGTTCATGTTGATCCAGATGCGAGGGAACAAGAGAAGAAAATCAAGCGATTGATAGGTTATATACACGATGTAAAGCTTTATTACCTAACAAACTCGTTGATTTGTCAATTCATATTCATCAGGTCATGCTGACTCACCTGCTGGCAATTTTCTTGTTTGGGATGACAATCGAGATGGTGTGATTTCAAAAGATGAGGTTGGCAATACAAATATTACATCAAATGATCGCTTTTGTTTATCATATCTGCTGATGCCATTATGATATCTGCTGATAGCATAATGATATCTGCTGATAGCATAATGATATCTGCTGATAGCATAATGATATCTGCTGATAGCATAATGATATCTACTTATACAATTACTATATCTGCGGATATCATTATGATATCTATTGGTAACATTATGATATCTGCTGATACCAGTATGATATTTATTGATACCATTATGTTTTTGTGGTTTTCGTTAGTTGAAGAGTTTTGCAGCTGAAAGTAAATTTTTATATATGAGCGATGAGGAAGTCGATGAAATGTAAGCTTTTGTTTTTATGAATTTTCTTCGATATGGAAGGCATAAGTTTTCTGTCTTTCAGTGCGTGTTTCTTAATTCTTTTATTGATATTTACGTGTTTTTGCGAAAAACATCTTACGATCTTATATTTTCTCGTGCGTAGGATAGAAAAAATGGAACTGACAGAGTTTGATGACGGTAGGTGCATTGCCGTGACCTGAATACAGCTACTTCATGTAGTTTATTTATATGCCCAGCGTATAAAATGATGAAGCTTGTACTTGTGTACACTCTAACAGTAGTATATGTTAGACTGTGTTGGTCCATGTTTCATAACATCACGAGAATATGATTGATATTTCCAGGAATAGTTACCATAGAGGAATTTAAGACTTTGAGGACTGCCGCTATGGAGAAATATTTCTTAGAAATGAAGAAGACACATCCGAAGCATCGTGATCGATACAGTCAACAAACATGGCTACCACAGAGAGGGAATTACGACAAATTACTCAGACAGATCAGACAAAGGTATCCGACCATGATGCATTCAAAATAATAGTTACTTTGTAACGAGAGAAAATTATTTAGTACTTATTGTAATATATCATCTCTTACCAACTCAAGGTAGATATTAAATGAAGATATGATCTTCGCACTTTGCTAGACAATTTAAGCAATTGTCTCATGAACCTGAAAAATTCAACTCAACGGGACTGAGTCACCTGAATTTTTCAGGTTCATAAGACAATTGCTTAAATTATCCAGCAAAGTGCAAAGATCATATCTTCATTTAATTTCAAAACACCGCACTGCATATAACAATCTTTCAAGGTAGATACATATTTTATTGGACTATAGTTCCTCATAAGCATTGTTTTTACCCTTTTTTAGGGTAGCGAACTTGACAAAACTTCCTATGAGTATTATAAAGGGCGGAGAGCATTTGCAGGTTAGATGTACCTGATTGTGTCTACGATTAGCACAATCTTCATAAGATTTTATTAAGTTCATATATTTCATTATATGTTATTATCTTAAATGTGGTGATTTTTTTCTTTATTTAAAGGTTGTTCATTACAATATCAACGGTCACTACCATGCTCATTATGATTCACAATCAAATGTTCAATTCCCTCAGTATAAATGCTGTCATCAGAATCTTGACAAACTGCCCGAATGCAGGCTGTGTAGGTTCGTAAACCGTCATGTTGATTGTAAATATTTTCGTATTAATTGGTTTAAATTTGTGGAGTTTTTCGTTTTGACATTTTACCGCATCTTTTCAGATACATCACTATTTTGTATTACTTAAATCAACCCGAGGTTTTTCGTTTTGACATTTTACCGCATCTTTTCAGATACATCACTGTTTTGTATTACTTAAATCAACCCGAGGTTTTTCGTTTTGACATTTTACCGCATCTTTTCAGATACATCACTATTTTGTATTTACTTAAATCAACCCGAGGTTTTTCGGTTTGACATTTTACCGCATCTTTTCAGATACATCACTGTTTTGTATTACTTAAATCAACCCGAGGTTTTTCGGTTTGACATTTTACCGCATCTTTTCAGATACATCACTGTTTTGTATTACTTAAATCAACCCGAGGTTTTCGTTTTGACATTTTACCGCATCTTTTCAGATACATCACTATTTTGTATTACTTAAATCAACCCGAGGTTTTCGTTTTGACATTTTACCGCATCTTTTCAGATACATCACTATTTTGTATTACTTAAATCAACCCGAGGTTTTCGTTTTGACATTTTACCGCATCTTTTCAGATACATCACTGTTTTGTATTACTTAAATCAACCCGAGGTTTTTCGTTTTGACATTTTACCGCATCTTTTCAGATACATCACTGTTTTGTATTACTTAAATCAACCCGAGGTTTTCGTTTTGACATTTTACCGCATCTTTTCAGATACATCACTGTTTTGTATTACTTAAATCAACCCGAGGTTTTTCGTTTTGACATTTTACCTCATCTTTTCAGATACATCACTATTTTGTATTACTTAAATCAACCCGAGGTTTTCGTTTTGACATTTTACCGCATCTTTTCAGATACATCACTATTTTGTATTACTTAAATCAACCCGAGGTTTTCGTTTTGACATTTTACCGCATCTTTTCAGATACATCACTATTTTGTATTACTTAAATCAACCCGAGGTTTTTCGTTTTGACATTTTACCGCATCTTTTCAGATACATCACTATTTTGTATTACTTAAATCAACCGGAAATTGGAGGAGAGACCGCATTTGTTGCTGCTGATGTTGATGATTTTAATGAAACGGTAGGTCTTTCAAGACTGTCATACACACTGTCCTGTTTTTCATTATATCATCATGTACTCCATTGTACCATCATGTATTTTATTATACTATCATGCAGCTATTCCATCATACTATCATGTTATCATGTTATACTATATTATCCTATCTTGTATTTTATTTTGTTGTAATGCTGTTTATGCTATTGTCAGAACACAAAACGATCAGCAGACCCGCAAAAGTAGACATTATTTATTCTAAACGTTTCGAAAAGTTTTACATGTCATCATCAGTAGAATATGTAACACTTGTCGAAACGTTTAAAAAATGTTTTCTTTTTAAGGAGTGTTAATCGTTTAGTGTTTTACCAAAATGCTATTGTTAGGTTTGGTAATCTTTTAGTACGATATCAAGTATGTTTTGGACGAAGATCGTCCACTTTAACATAGAGCTGAAAAGGACCGAGTGACGTTTTGACATCCTTGACTCTGAAGATGACTACCACCGCTAAAGATGTCGAAACGTCACTCAACATCAACATCGACAGTCTTTCTCATGACTCTACAAACCTGGACGATCTAAATGTACAAACATGCAACGATACTCTCAAACCATTCACTTTACAACGATATCAAATATTGGTCATCTTGCCAACATCTCGTATTCATCGTTATCTTTCAGGAATTCCGGAAGCGCGAAAAAGGCGATCATTATAATCTCAGTAAATTTTGTCACCAAGCAACTCTTGTCATTCCTCCTAAACGAGGTACAGCAATCATGTGGTACAATCATCATTTAAGTGCTTCCGGTTGGCTCGGGGACCTCGACTGGAAAACCTTGCACGGGGGGTGTGATATACTTAAGGGAGAAAAGTGGCTTGCAAACAATTGGTTGACAGCTCCTAATGAAGGTGAGAAACATATACGAAGTAATTATTACATCAAGGAACTTGAAGAACTTCATGATGACAGCGTATATTAAGACAGTATTATTGAGAGTATGTCTAGAGGTTTGATAGCAATAAGTGGGGAAAACTATGTATTGTTTTATATGGATTTTTCTTTCGTGGAACAAATTGTAATTTCTTATTTAAGTATTTCTTGGGTTGGGACAATTTTTAATTGATGCCATCAATATCAATTGTTAACTATATCAATTTAAAATATAGTTAAATTGAGCTAGAATATGACTTGTCGTATCTTTGATTGAAATGGAATGAAATATCGAAGTCAATTAAAATATAATTAAATTGAGCTAGAATATGACTTGTCGTATCTTTGATTGAAATAGAATGAAATATCGAAGTCAATTAAAATATAATTAAATTGAGCTAGAATATGACTTGTCGTATCTTTGATTGAAATGGAATGAAATATCGAAGTCAATTAAAATATAATTAAATAGAGCTAGAATATGACTTGTCGTATCTTTGGTTGAAATAGAATGAAATATCGAAGTCAATTAAAATATAATTAAATTGAGCTAGAATATGACTTGTCGTTTCTTTGATTTAAATAGAATGAAATATCGAAGTCATCTTAAATTTTATTGAACTATAATCTTTAACTTATAAAAAAATATCGGAGCTATGTCAAATTAGAATGAACTATATTCTTTAACGTATAATGTTTTGTAACTAACAATAAACTATAAATTCATTAAAATTTTGTATTGTTATTCTATCTTACGGTCGAAATATCGCATTAATTTTGCATCAAGATATTTTTCCTTTTATAAGTTGTCAGTCGTATGCATTATTTGTAGTTTACATTCTTCCTCTTTGTTAAGACTATAGAAAGATGTTTTAATGTCTTTTGTGTTCTCTTAAAAGCATGTAAAGTTTCAAGGACAATAAGCAATCATCAACGTTACAAAGAAGAAAAAAACCTGCTGTTGCTACATAACATTCTATAAAATTCAATACGACCAGCCAAACCATGTGTTTGAGCGCGAAGAATGACTTAAACGACTTTTGTTTGAAAACAAATGTTCTTGAATTGCTATTGAAATTATTCATGTCTTTTAACATTATTTGAAGTTTTAAAAGTTGGCGTGTTCGAAATGCGTCATAAAGTGAACTGACTGTACATCATGAACTGAATTTGTCAAACCATTGTCGAATATAGGACGACTCTTTCATAAACTCGATTTAAAGTAAAGCGATGTGATGGTAAAAACAGAATCGTGAATGTTTTGGGGGTCTTTATCTCGTAATTTAAGATGGACTGCGTTATAAAGAGATTGGTCTTTCTTGTGTTATGTTTTGTTTTGTTTCAAGTACGTCGATGCCTTCCTGATTCGCTTACAGTCAATGCAATCCATGATGATGGACCTTGCATGGATCACACAAAATCGTATGCGTTAGAAAGATACAATCCCGTCAAGGTATGATGAGCAGCTAATTTATATTAGTATAGTCTATTTTATTTTTACGTTGCACTCATAGTACTCTTTCAATAAATAGATTATTATCATAGGCCGTCATATTGGTGCATGCTTATATTCGAGAGCGTGGATTTAATATTCTGTTGAACGTCAGAACTTTGTTAGAATAACCATCCAACATGGCCGCTCTGATGTCTTATGAAAGAAAGCACTAATTTTATTATCGTCGTTTCTAGATTGGCTATGTTAGAACCATTGACCTGGGAAGCTTTGGCCAACGTAGAATGATCACACGCGCTTTGAAGCCTCCGATCTTCGGTAGGAATGTGGAGTCAAACATTTTAAATCACTTGGTCTGTTCGTGTATGCTACTAATGTTTTGTTTTTCGTTCTCTGCTCTAAAGAAATACCGGATTTTCTCACGGAAGATGAGTGCGACTTTATTATGAAGCAAGCTGTGAAACAAGGCTTAAAGAGTAGCATTGCAAAAGGTGGACTATCACCCAAACTCATGCCCATTCTCCCAGAAAACGGTAAGCTCTCGTTTCCATCCTTACTGCTGTTAGTTTCTGTTACATTATTCTTGGTTAATGGTCGCTTGTCTCTTCCAGTGACAGGAAAATTGCCGCCAAATGAAATCGGGGGACGTTTCGAAGATTGGGATCAAAACAATGATGACGTCATAGATATCTTGGAAGTAAGGCTTGCGTTATAATGTTCTTGTTTTTTTGAAGTCCACTGTACTTCATGTAACTGTAAGCATGATTTAATCCTCAGGTTGAAAAATTAATCTAAAGATATTGCTAGTTGTTGTTTAAATCTGTAACGAGGTAATAATTATTTGATATTTTATTTTTAAGATGATGAAGTTTGCAAAAAACAAGCACCTTCTTTTTCTTAGCAAAGACGATATTTTAGAAATGTAAGTATAACTGTCTTGCATGTACCTTCATAATATGAAATTATATCTGATAATGCGAGCGATCATACATGATCCTATGTTTTTGATTGTTTGTATTTAGGATAGAGAAATTAAATATTTCTGCTGCGAAAGATGGTAAGTTAAGATGTCTATATCTTGCCTGTTGTGTGCGCTTTTAAGCAGTATTGTAGAAGTGGGGGGGGGCGCTTGGGGGAGGAGCCCCCCTTCTACCTTTGAATTGGGTAATTTTAAAAGGGCACTGTTGACAAAAACGTCAAGAGAGCCCCCCTTCTGATAAATTTAGTTCTACAGCACTGCTTTTAAGTTCATCAGAAATTTTCTATTTTTCTGTAAGAACATATCACGAAAATGGAATTCGAAGACGCTAATATTTTGGGAATCGATTCTTATTTCTACAAACTACACCGACTTCATCCGAAACACAAGGACAGATACAGCGAGCAAACGTGGGTGAAGTTTGGAAGAACAGCTAACAAAACTATGACAAGGATCTTAAAAAGGTTCGTCCATTGTTTTCATGGCACATTTAAAGCTGCCGTCATTCGTTCATCGTTTAATCCGACTATATCCCAAAGTCGATCTGATCAAACGGAGAACGATTTTATTCCTAACATAATCGGATATATAGTTTGGCAAAAGATCAATTTTTGCATGAAGTAATTAACTAGTTTTGTCGTTTTTGAATATAATGTATTACTGTGCATTGTTATATGAACTTGTGATCTGCGGCGGATTACTAATTACGACGCCTACAGGCTAAGACAATGTTGTTGGACTTTAAGTCGGATATGTATTCCTCCCATTAAGTTACGTTTTTCTTTGCTTTGCATTTCCTGTTTGTAACCTCATAGGGTAGAAAATGGGAAAAAGTTCATTTTAAAGTTCAAACGAAGTTTCGAAAATCATTGACATGGTCAGGGAAAGGAGAAAGCCAATACTTCATGAGTTCTGAGTATTACGCATTTGAACAGTAGATAGCACTGAAGCCATTTCTCCTCTGCGTTCAATGGCTCGTGGATTTTCATCAGCATCAATGATCTAAATTAAGCTCGTTTAGCTAACCCGGAATATCAAAAACGTCCAAATCCAAATAATGTCTAGATACAACGGGCCTCTCGAAAGCCCGGGGTCTGCAGGCTCAAGCCTACTTAGCCCACTGGATAATCTGCCCCTGCTTCTGATTATGACTTAGAATATAATATTATTGCTCTATAGAATAATATACGGTCTTGTTTTAGAGTAATGAAGTTGACGAATTTATCAAGTTATCTTGTGTACGGTTGTGAAGAGATGCAGGTGGGAAGATAATCAACGTTTTTTTGTGTGAAAAAGCCATTAAATATCATTCAAATTAGGTCGTCCGTTATCAACCATTTGGACATTATCATGCGCATTTTGATAGTGAAACACACACAAGACAAAATGTCCCTTGTTGTCATCAGGTTCATCCCGATCAGAGATGTAAAATTTGTAGGTATGGGATTACGTTTCTGCTTGTAATTTCTCGTAGTTATATGTAGTGCTTTGATACATTGTCTAGCAAGATGTAGATGGTGATATACTGCCTAGCAATATGATGATATACTGTCTAGCAAGATGGTGATACACTGTCTGGCAAGATGGTGATACACTGTCTAGCAAGATTGTGATATACTGCCTAGCAAGATGGTGATATACTGTCTAGCAAGATGGTAATATACTGTCTAGCAAGATGGTAATATACTGTCTAACCAGATGGTGATATACTGTCTGGCAAGATGCAATAGATTTTGACGTACGAGTTGACCCCGATGTACCCACCCAAATTTTGTTTTTGTTGTCAACAAAACGTTGAACGTAACTTAACGTGATTATGAAAATACATTGGAACAAACCAGTCCAGTTAACTTTAAAGAAAACTTCATTGATGTTTTAAGGTACATCACAGTGTTGTATTATCTAAACGACAATTACAAAGGTGGAGAGACAGCTTTTCCTGTGGCTGATAACATAACATTGGATCTTGAGGTATGTTTCTTTAAAGATTTCGATCATTCGTTGCAAGTTTCTTTCTTGCTTATTATTTTCCTCCTTAAAACAGACATGCCTGTCCATCAAATTGAATTTGTTCACATGATACATTGACTTAATTTTTCATTTTTTGCATTAGCAGAGCATCCAAAATCGAGAAGAAAGAGATATCTTTAACTTGAACGAGTTTTGTCACGCGGCTAATTTTATTGTGAAAGCAAAGAAACGTGGTACAGCCATAATGTGGTACAACCATGATATTGATTATTGGAATGGTGGATGGTTAGGTGATTTGGATGGACATAGCTTACATGGAGGATGCATGGTTACTGAGGGTGAAAAATGGATCGCAAACAGCTGGTTGCCAGCACCTTATTATTACAATTCAGATTTACGAAGTATGTTCCTCAACAGATTCGAGGGCTCTGCAACTGCACCAATGGAAAATGAAGACTAATTTAACCGTGAGCATTGTCTTTTTTGTATTATTTTTAATGGCACAAGATCGTGTTTCTTTGGACGTGTTAATTTTCACTCGCAAATAATTTGATTTTGTTAGTACACGTCAACATTACGTTCACCTACTGTGGAATCCTTAAAAGAACTTGTGAATTTCGTGTCCACGTTTCTCAGTAGATTAAAAATAGATAAAATAGATGATAAAAATGAATGAGACAAAATCGCCTGGACTGAAGACGAACAAACGATAAAGTATAATCAACAAGTTCCCCTCCTGAAAATTCTTTGAAAACTATCGAGGATGTGTAGGGCAATGCGATGGGCGTTTTTGATGTCCACTTATACTCCTCATTGCTCCTTGCCTGCTTTAGAAATAGCAAAAATTTAATATAGCTTTGCCGTCTTGTAAGTTGCAAGTACCGTATTAATAGCAGAGGCATTATGATTCCTTGATTTCTCGAGCGATAGAACTTGAGCTTCGATATTGCTTCGTACTGTCTTTGCCGAAGAAACTACTGCTTCATCCACGGTAGATTGTAGGCCAGCACTGACGAAAATCTTTTAATTTCTGACTGGAACGCAGTTGTCCTGTCGATAAACGAGCCGTACGATGATTTTTAAACCAGCTTCTTTGTTAAAAAAATTTTGACGCTCGACTTTTCGTATGCTTTGGTCAATGACTAGCTTCCTCAAACTTAGTCACAAACCTTCTTACCTTACTCGGTCCCAGGCCGCAATCGGTTCCTGTGATATAAATCTTGGTTGTGTAACCTCATTATCTAGAAACGTGTAAAAATCTAAACAATGATAAATTTATAAAGAAATTTTACCAAAGTACAATGATCGTGAATCTACGTGATGTTACAATGAATAAAGATATTTATCGTTGATTTCTACTTACATAAAAGACAAAACGAGAAATACAAGAACTTATAACCTTGTATTAATTTAGCTAGTCGTATTTATAAATTAATAGAGTTATACTTAAAAAATCATTAATAAGCCTCAGTTTAGTTAATGATCAGGACGATGGTGCTAACGGCCAGCGTTCATCTTGTGTTTTCAACTCTACGTCGCTTCATTTCACTCCAAACGGGCGATTGAGCTTCGGTCAGTGGCTTATCGCTCGGTTTTATTTTTACATTCTTGTATTTGTGAATCGGTTGAGCCTTATGAACCAATTGTTGCCTCAACTTAACAAGGGCTTCTTGTTCCTCCTTCTCTCGTTGAGCATCGCGCTCTCTTCGTAATTCTTCGTCAATCTGTTCGCGTTCTTTCTTGTTCATTTCCAGTTCTTCGTGTCGCTCCGCGCGACTGTTCGTGTTCAATGTGAACTCGCTGACTTCAGTCAAAGGTTTCTTCGATTTCTGCGGCACAAATGGAGCGTCGTGGACAACTTTACATGGCTTTGCTTTGAAAGTGGCGTTCGTTCGACTTTCTTCCAGTTCTGTTTTAATCTGAGAATACAAATAGCTGAAGCACCTCGACACTAGGAAAACTTACAAAAACCCTCACTGTTGATGAGAAAGCTTTGCAATTACAAACCTTCTGTATCCATTTTTCTGCCTTTTTCGCTCCTCTGTTGTCAGTATTTAATGAAAATGGCATCATGTTTGTACCACATCTCGTTGCAACAGCTGGCAATGGATCCGGCGAATCTGATGGTAACGGTTGAGCTTTGAATTCTCTTAGCTAAATATAGCATAAACTATAAGTGTTGAGCTACTTTGAATCCTTTTTGATGAGAAAAACATGCAGACCAGTCCAGTCGTTTGAACTTTACCTTTTCTTCTTCCTTATAGACGTCTTGGATTTTCTCTTCTTTTTTCTGCCATCTTTCTTTGTCTTTCTCAATAAACGAGAACGGTTTCGGTTCTGTGTGTTCGTGCTTCAGTTGAGGCCGGAAAATTTTCTCGAAATTTGGTTGCGGCATCGCTTTGAAATTCACTGCTGTCGTTTCCTGAAGAGTTATAAAGATAATAAAAGAAACGCGTCTATTACAGGTAATTATAATTTTACACTGTTTATTTCTCATGATAAAAAGCCGCGGGTTTGGAATAGAATTTTACCTCTGTAGATGATTTCTCTTTTCTTTTTAGTTGACGCTCGTCAGACTCGAACGAGAATGGTTCAGGTTTTGTGGGTGCGATAGCCTCGTGATATTTCACTGGGATTCCGTACATGCCATCGCATTCTACAATGCGACGGTCAAACGGTTTTGCTTTGAAGGTATAGCTGAAAAAAAGACGCGACTGTTTTAATGGTTTGTTGCTCAATATATGTTGCAGAAGAACTAAAAGATAATGAAGTAAGATCAAAGGAACTATCATCGTCGAGAAGCTTGTGTTTTCATCTTACAACAAAGGTTTGTAGAAATGCAAGACGGAACCCGTTTTCAGATGATTAAATTGAGAACAGAAATTTAAGAGTATATGATATGACATCTGGACTAGTATCCAAGCCTACTAACTTTTTCATTTTTTCAACTTCTTTCTCTTCTTGTTCTTGCCAACTCAACACGTCACTACCAACGGGACGTGAGCGCGTCTTGGTGCTCAGATTCGGTGTCTTCGGGACGATACGCGATTTTGTCTTCGTGACAACCGTATTGTCATTACTGTGTTCTGGGTTGTTTGCACAGGGCATGTTTTTATCGTTTGCTGCCTTAGTATGAAATCTTGGAGGCGTTGAAGTTTGAAACTTGTAAACTTGAAGAGCTACGGGAACGTATGAATCACTGTCTACACCGGCGTCTTTCTCCATTGTCGCATGCTTGCGTTTCTTTTGTCCACCATTACTCAGATTGAAAGGTTTTGGTATTGTTACACTACGATTTTTCCATGTCTACAAGAATCGAAAGAAAGGATGAGTTGCGCAGCAGATGCAACAGTTTGTACACGTCATTAGTAGTAGAGACAATTGTAATGCATTAGATTTTTTCTTACTGATTTACCTAGATAAACGACTATGGAGAAGGTTCAAATAGGGCAAAAAACGAACAATAATAATCCTTCATTTGGGTTTATCCATTTTGTTTGAATTTTTTGTGATTAATACAACAACAGTACATGAACAAACACATGTAACCCATCAGTTACATGTGTTTGTTGATGTACAAGATCATTCACGTAAGAGGAGTACTGAGAAAGACTGTTGGTGTTGATGTTAACTGACAGTTCTGACAACCTTAGAATTAGTCATCTTCAGAGTCAACGTCAACACCAACAGTCCTTCTCAGGACTCAACCAACCTGAATGATCTACATCTATTAACCCGATTATTATTCAGTAAGTCACAAGGTGAATTGTTATGGTTTTTCTTTACAAAAGTTAGATTTTAGGATTACCGGTGAAGGTGGATGTTGTCTTAAACTGTTCCAAAATCCCTTTTCAACATCTTCACTAACTGTGTCTGATGATTGGTTTGATATTTCTGGATTTTGCTTTATCCTTCTTTCAGTTTGAAAATTAAACTCCTGTGGTTGTGTTAGACTAATGCAATTTGTTTTTACTGGCTTAACCGAGGTACATGAAAATGCTTTTTTCATCATGTTCTCATTTGCTTTGATGTGGTTCTTGGTTTGCTTGCGAAGTTTAGCAATGCATTCCATCTCAAGTTCTTCGGTTGTTTTCAGTTTGATCATTGTAGGCTTGTTGGTTTTCTGACGCCTTAACAAAAGATTATGTAAAATGTAACTCAATCCTATCTGTTATTATTCCCTAGCAATATGTGTGAGTCGATTTTTTTCTTCTTCTTACTTCAGGCATTGTGGTGTTACAGGTACAGTGACTTCCTGGGGTTTCAACTCTGGAATATTTGATCTTGATCTTGAACGGCGGCTTCTCTCACTTCCTGCAGATGATCTTGTCTGCCTTTTCCTTTTAGCAGCATTGGCAAGTCCCGTTGAATTCAAAGAACGATTTCTTCTCTTCGAAGCCCTGCTCAAACTTGGATATTAAACACATCATTGTGTGAAATACTGTACTGTTATTGAAAACAATTGTTATAAATACCTTTCTGGTTTTCTTGGTTGGTCAGTAGAAGATGTTTCTGATGATGTGTCACTGTTCTTGGTATCATCTAATTGAATTTCCTTTACAGTCACAGTTTCACTTTGTTTCTTCTCATTGTCCATTGTTTCTTTCCCTTTCTCAACATCAATATTACTTTCTTCTGTCACATTATCAATTGCTTTCAATTGAGAATCATGATGTTGAACTTTGTCGTCCTCATCATTCACTTCCTTCTGGTTCTGCACATTTTCAGTTTGGACTATTGGACATGAGACATCATCAGAATTCTTACTGTTTCTCATGCTTTTCATCTCTTGGCATTCTAGGACAATTTTTGGTTCACATTTGTCTTCCTCGTTCCTTGATAAACTTGCAGGCTTTTTCTCAGTAATATCATGGTGATTTTCAACAATTTCAATTGCGTTTTGAACATTCTCTCTTTTTATTTCATGTTTTGTTGCTACTTCGTTGTCGTTGTCATGAATTGATTCTTCTGTTCCCATTTTTTTAAGCAACGTGTCTTTATTTGAAGTGCTGTTTCTCTCTGGTTTTGGGGTTGCCTTTAGAGGAGCTTCGTTAATTTCTTCTGGAATAACAATACCTTCGTCATCTCCTCGTCTATTGTCTGAAGAGAGCAATGGTTCAGTTAAAAAGAAAATCAAGTTGCACTAACATGTATATATTGTTAAATATGGACTGACCGAACCAAGAATCAACATCTGTGTCATCTTCATCTTGTAATTTCGCGAAATCTACAAATTTGCACGCTTCGTACTCAAACTTCGGATCGATAATAGATTTTTCCATTTTTTAGTCAGTCGAAAATTTAATGATGAGTTTCAGATTGTGGTGTGGAAAAAAAATTCAAAATAGTATAATGTGAATATACGTTGCCGTTGTATCTCTATTCAAAGTTTCAAATATTGTGCATAAGATTCCACCAATTATAAGCCGTTTGTGCACTTATTGACCAATAAAATGCGTTAAAATCTCTTGTTTTGATTGGTCTAAGAAAACGTGTTTTGACTTTTTGTAGAACAATCAATTTTAATTAGCTCTGTCTCAAAATGGCGGTGTTCTTTAATTTTATTTTCTTGTACAAAAAAATAGATGGCAAAACCAACAAATGGTTATTTTGAGGATGAACACTTAATTACATATTGCTGCCCTGAAATGTTTTATGCAAAATGACGGAGTGAATGCTAGCCTGTGAGTTATGTTTTCTTACAATTATTTCTCAAACTAACAACTCCAAGTTCTTTTTAATTTTTTGAGCATTTGCTTGCAACACGGTATCTTTTACTTTATATCTGACAGTTACTTTCTTTTTTATTAGTAGTTAAAGTTTCAAGGCGTGTTATTGAAATGGAACCAGATAGTACTTTCGAAGTAAGAAACAAGTTAATGGGAATCATCAAAGCTATTCGTCCCATCGATGTTGCTGTTGTTGTTAGCTCGCTTGTCGCTATGTACTTGTTTCGACTGCAAGACGGTTTCCAACTCATGCCTATATGGCAGCTAAAAGAAACTGAATCTGCCGAGCAATCTATCAAGTACTATTAGATATCACTCATTTTCAGTTTCAGTTTTATTTTCATCAGTTTTTAAAGCTTTGTGAATGTTTTATTTTATCTCTTTAGGGTTCCACCATTGATAGTTGATTTTGATGGAAACGGTCTTAAAGGTAACTCTATATTCCGAAAGGCTCTCTGTTACATTTTATTGTACTTGTTTTTATTATTATTTTCTCACAGAAATCGTCATTGTATCTGCTAGTGGAGTAAAAATGTTTTCATTTCATTCGGAAGACTTTGGTGATGAACATGATGCTTCCGAAATGAAAGAAAACAAAAATAACTCCAGTCCTGTGCTCTTTCATCTTCACCAAAAGGTTTTTCTTTTTGGTTTATGCGAAGTAAATGTGGAATGAGCAATAAAATCAATATCTTTTACATAGGCTATGTTTCATTTTAATGAAATGAACAAGACAGAAGTGTTATATCCTATTGCAATGAACTCTGGTTGTCTGTCTCATAGAAATAGCATCTGCCCTCAGGTACATAAATGAGCAACTGGTAATTTATACATTTGGTGGAATTTGAAACAGAATACCAAACTGAGTAGCAAAAAAATGGAAATTTGTATGTGAATTTTTGATATTGAAATTTAGAGGAAATTGGTGTTGAGGTTTTTCTTGAGACTCTTTAAGAAAGTTGTTGTCCCACTTATCAACATTGCAAATTTGTGACAGGTTTTGGCTATTGTATGGAATGACTGGTCTGTTACATTATTATCTCATGATTTGAAAATACTATGGAAATCCAGACCAATGACATTAAGCCTTCATTCAAACTTACAATTTACGTAAGTGTTGATTATTCAGTACTTTGATCAAAGTAAGATGATGTGACTCCAATCAATCAGTGTTGTACTTCTTCGGAGTATTTTTGAAAGGATTTTGATTTATTTTAATTAGAGAGATGGCTGTAAAAATTTGTTCTGGTGATGAAACCCCATTTGATGATGGGCTTGTAATAATAAGTGGTGTCCTTCATCTTTCTGGTCATTCATCCAGTGATGTGAAAATGTAAGTTGATTCATATCAAATGATGCAATAAATATTTTGTCTTGGTTTTCTTTGACTTTTATGACTACACTTTGCAATATTTTTTTTTATTTGCTCTATACTATTGTTATGTGTGAAGAAATTAAAATGAGAATGGTATGTGTCTGACTGTATTCATTTTTCCTTAGTTTGACATTTTTGATGTATTAGAAAATTTGTGTTCTGTTGTGTATACTAGATGATGTTGTCTCGTTTAAATAAACATGAAACATATTGTTCCAAAACATTCTACACTTTCAAAACATAAGATTTGAAAGTGTGGTTCAATTTCAGCCATACATATGGCTTTGCTTATTAATGTTTATCATTGTAAGAACTTTGAAGTCTTGACCTAATTATTTATTCAACGGTAACCGAGACAAGGAAAACAGATAATCCTTTTTTGCCATGAAGCCCAGCCCTGTCATGGATGGTTTGAAACAGTCAATGAAAGAGTTATATCGGGACGGGGCGGGTGGCTGAATGGTTAATTGCGTGTCTGTAAACCTAGCCCGGGTAAATGTGTCTGTAAACCTAGCCCGGGTTGACCAAAGCCATGTGAGGGAAATTTGGTAGAGGAAACTATGTCTTCGGATGGACTGTATCTGCATCTGCAATGTTGCAGCCTTGTCACACTGTGTCACGCTGATATCAGCGTTGTGGTTGCGTGAAGGGTACGAATGATTGTAGTCTGGTCAGCTGCCTTCACTATAAGTGACCAGGATGTTCCACTTTGTGGAACCCTCATACGTCGAAATCGACGGAGTCCATTATTTATTATATATTGTGAAAGATAGCAAGATTTAAATTTGTAATAAAAATCCCCATTTGGGTCCATGCTTCCTGATCTCCTGCGACAGGAGAAATATATGGTTGATTCAAATTCAGAGGATCTTTTTTTGAAACTTTGTACTATTCTTTGATTTATTGTTAAGAAAAGCTACATGAGAAATGCTTAGTAATTGTATTATTTACATTCAAGAAATCATCATCACCATCAAAGTACACAGGTTACATCAAACAAAACTCCTGAGGAAATCAGTGATGAACAAGCTGGTGTTGAGCCCGAGAACATTAATAATGATGGACTTCATCATGATATCGATCCTGTAAGTACATGCAGCATGTCTGTAATCTGTTTGATGATGGATTTTCTTGCTGAACACATTGTAAATGTTTACAATGAAAGATTTCATGGCTGACATGCAGTGTATCCAGATGAAATTTTAAAATATTCATGCTCACTTGCGTCAAAAGTTCACAAAAATGGCAAAAAGTTCATATTACCAGAGCCCTCTATAGAGGGCTCTGCATATTTCATCTAATTTTTAAGATCGGAAGTTAGCGGATTAACTCGGAAATTTTCGAAAACTCTCGGAAGTGTTCGGAAAACATCGGATTATCTCAAAATCGTCGTTGTTTTGAAAGTACTGTCGAGCTATGAAGATTTTTGTTTCATTGAACTATGATTTATCTATGCACTCTTTATGAAAATGATGAAAATACAAAAATGCATAATATTTAGAAAAATTCACAAAAAGTTCACAAACTTTTAATGTTCACGAAATGTTCATGAAGAGAGCAAAAAGTTCACAAATCTGTGAACTAACTTTGTTCACGATCTGGCAACACTGCTGACATGGCATGTTAAAACATTGTTTGGACTGGGAATGAGTTTCATAATTAGTTGCTTTGATATAAAGAACATCATTCCTTGAATGTGTTGGTTTTTGAAAATTGCCTCTTAATGGGAAACAATAACAAAGAAACGCCGAATGGACGAACAGAAACATTCAATTTAACACAACTGTATCAATGGGCAGCATAATGATTTTGCTTCATTTCCTAAACTTTAGATTATGAAAAAACTTTTGCAAACGGCATCCACTCGTTTGTGATATTGCAATGCATTTTAGTTGAGAATCTTTATCCATAAACCCATATTTTTTATTTCAACTGTTCAAAGCGTTTCTTGCGTGGCAGTAAATGTTACATGTTCACTAACATCCCTAGAATTTGACAAAATACATTGGTCATTTTACTACTTATGCATTAAATGGAAATTCTGGAAAAGTGGTGTGGAAACACGAACCTGTAGACTTGGAGACAAGTAAAGAATCTCATCAGGTGGGTATAAAAATGTAGCTTTTTCTGTTAAAATATCACCCAACCACTCTTCATCATGGAAAATGGTTATAAGCACTTGATCTCATAAACTCATAGTTAAATAGACTTTAGTTCAGTAATGTAGCCAGCAAGTTTTAGTCTTGCTGTGTAAATTTCTAAACATTATCTTTGTTCATTTCTTCAGAAAACTGTTGTTTTCATAACAAGTGAACACAGATAAATTAAAACACGAGGTGTAAAAAAGCGAGCTGACTACTCCCATGGCTACGCCAGTGTTTTAGTGTAATGGTTTATGGTTATTGCACTATTTTGTGTTTCCATTATAGGATCACCGAACTTCACATTTCAAACTTCAACTGCGAAAGAAAGCTGCTCATCGTGGTGAAGTTTACTGGACAAAATACAGCGATTCGTTTCTCGACCATCTTCCTTTCTTTTGGACCCATCCCTCTGAAACTAGTATAACTTTGGCAGAGTTTACAACAGCCAAACCAAAGAAAAGGAAAAGGACAAAAACAGAAGTGTTTATGAGCTTTGTTGGAAATGGTGGAACTATTGAAAATAAGACCGCGTCCAGTGAATTGAATTCGGTTGTTATTAAGCACAGCAGAGGAATTGATGTCCTGAATTTGGAAAATGGTGAACCGTTATCTTCGTTGCAATTTGACTCCAAGTTTTCAACGTTTGCCGATGTTAATGGCGATGAAACTATTGACTTGATCAAGTTTTATTCACAAGACGAGAATGACAAACATGATTGTTTTTTGGTCGTATCAGATGCGAATACAAAGTCTTCAATTTTGTTTAACTCCTCCGTTTGTTATCCGTCGAGTTTCATCGATTTTTTTGGTAGGTTTTATGTGTACAGTTATGTATCTTTATGTGTACAGTTATCTTTATGTGTACAGTTATGTATCTTTATGTGTACAGTTATGTATCTTTATGTGTACAGTTATGTATCTTTATGTGTACAGTTATGTATCTTTATGTGTACAGTTATGCGTCTTTATGTGTACAGTTATGCGTCTTTATGTGTACAGTTATGCGTCTTTATGTGTACAGTTATGCGTCTTTATGTGTACAGTTATGTATCTTTATGTGTACAGTTATGTATCTTTATGTGTACAGTTATGTCTTTATGTGTACAGTTATGTCTTTATGTGTACAGTTATGTATCTTTATGTGTACAGTTATGTCTTTATGTGTACAGTTATGTATCTTTATGTGTACAGTTATGTATCTTTATGTGTACAATTATGTATCTTTATGTGTACAGTTATGTATCTTTATGTGTACAGTTATGCGTCTTTATGTGTACAGTTATGTATCTTTATGTGTACAGTTATGCGTCTTTATGTGTATAGTTATGTATCTTTATGTACAGTTATGTATGCAATGTGAAGCATTCATCTTTTGCTCATGAATGGCTAAGACTTATATTTTTTTTCATTGGAACGAGACTGTACGAAATCGTATGTATATTTTCTCTGGAAAAATCTCCTTCTAGATCGCACAACAGATAACTCCAGTGTCCAATGCCATGACATAAAAATGTTTTTCTATTTTAGCTGAAACCGATTTGAGTTCTCACGAAAATCTACGAAGCCATCCCCCACTAGCGACGCCGACTTTGAAACGATCCTTTGGTGTCCTGTATCACGTTCTTGGTCATGGTTTATCACGTGATCATGCTGGTATGGATATCATTATACTGACTTCGTCTGGTCGACTTTGTGCCTTTCACCCATCGGGTCGATATATTTGGTACATCGATACTGGAATGACATGGCACGACTCGGACGGTTTTGTACCAAGTTTAAAACTTATTTCTTTATCTTCGGACGAAATTAAGGTTTGTCATGAACTGCATCTTAAATTCTCTCGTTGTTAATTTCTGTTACCTTGCTTTTTCTGTACAGGATGGATTGATCATTCTCGGATCACGTGAACTGCTTGTTGTATCCCTATTGGATGGTGATGTATTGTCAACTCACTCCATACCTTGTGTCCCCACTCTTCCGTTGTTGCTTGGCGATATTAATAATGATGTAAACGACGAGTTCCTTGTTCGTTGTAGTGACAGGTCAGTCGTGTGTTAAGTGTGCGAAATTTAAAGAATCTATCACAGAAATTTCTTATTCTCTTAGATATAAGATCTCCTAGAACCGTAATGGATTTTCTGACAATAAATCTGATGATTCAGACATCTGGGGACGGTTGCACGAAGCCCGGATAGCGTTATTCATTGGATAGCATAAATTTTCAAATTGTAAAAGATGTTTGTGTTCGTCTTACGACAAAGGAATTTCGTAATGCTCGAAACAATATTTTATTGCTCAGTTTGAATCTTACTTTTTTTCCTTTTAAAATGTTTTATAAAAGTTTTAAAAAAAATTGCTATCCATTGGATAACTCTATCCAATGCTTCGTGCAACCTGCCCCAGAAAGCCTCATTAGTTAAAAACAAGATTGGAAACATGCATGTTAAAAAGAAAGTGCGGAGATCTGTAAAGTACGAGAATAAGAACTAGTGTAGTAAATTGAAATTACCATATCACAAAGATTATGCTAACTTGCTTCTCTAGAATCTTAAAGTACTTCGTCAGGCTTCACGATGTCATGATATTTTGCTGCGCCTTCACTAGTTTTAATTCGTCAAAATAATCTTCTCTTATTCATGTGACTTTCACACTTTTCCCAAAAAGGCAAATCCTATTCAAATAACCATGACCTAACTCTACATCAATATAGTGTACACTTGTGTCCACGCGTATTGAAGAACTTTCTTCTTCGTCATCAACAAACAAACCACTTGAAACGGCCCTCGAGAGGAAAATAAGGCCCGACGTTCGTCTAAAAAGATGAAAAAGCTTTCATCTTGAAACCCTCGGAAAGGGAAGACTCTTGGCAGGCTTCTAACAATTTCTTTGTTTATTGTTTTATGTGTCATGACATGCAACAAATGTTTTTGTTTTATTAATTGAGATCCATTCTTGTTTGATATTCTTTTGAAATATGTTTCGCTGATCTTTCCCTGTAAATTTTATTTCTTTATTGTCAGTTTCAAATGTGATTTATTACATATTACCATTAAAATTTAACCGTTTTTCCCAGTTCGTGTTCCGTAATCACGTGGTACACCGTCCTTGCATCATTATTTGGTGTGGTTTGTTTGTCATTTTTGGCGCTAAGATTCAAAACACACACGCAAATGATGAAGATCGTACAACGCTATTTTCTTTGACTCAACTAAATGACGAACGTTTCGACACACGCTCGATGTTTTGATTCGGTGTTTCGTAGAGGAAAATATATTCGATGATAAACGGTAAAACGTTTAAGAGTAAAACAATTCAAAATCAGGGTCGATATTGCATTATTTCATATAAGGAAGTTGCCTCAGGCAATATTTTCGTTGAGTCACGGTTCAACTTTGATTCGTCGCGTTTTTTTGTAAGAAAGTTTTGTTACGTTATGAAAGAAATAAAAGTTTTTTGTATTCAAAAGACATTTACCATAAAAATGATCTGGTATCTTTGTAAGACGTTTTATTGTAAGAATCGTATATCAGTTTATCATGATACCTTTCCAGTCCTACTGGTATTTTTGTAAGACCTAGTTTAGACGTCGAACTTTATATTAACTGAATGCATTAAAGACGAAAGAAAATGAGATGAACTCCTTCATTGTCTTTTGTTTTAAATGCATTCGGCTCATGTAAAATGCGACGTATAAAACAGGCCTAAGATGTTGTATTGTGAAAATCGTATATTATTTTATCATGATAGTTTTCCGGTCCTACATCTTCAAATTCCTGCTGAATCACCTTCTTATATAGCGTTATTTCACGACACGTCTCACACTTCCTAAAGACATTGAAGTTTATTTTAACTAAATAAATGTTTGTTAAGCATCATCTAGAGGAACTTAACTTGCCTCGAAGAAACGTCCTTTATGTAATATAGTCGCTGTGTGTACACAGTTCTACTCGTGATAATATTATTACGAATAAGGAAAATCTTAAAGCTTTTGTTCCTACGTTTTAAACAAATACGTTTTATGATATTGTTAGAATGTTGACGTTATCACGTGCATTCATTTTACTGACGAGTATTGTCACCTGGAAAAGCCAACATCGACGACAATCTAAATTAAACACCAAAATTAACATAAAGTGACAACATCGCAGTCTTCCCTGTAGGGGAGGGATGGGGGAGATATTGATGGCAGGATTATGATTCTAGTCAAATACAGTTAGTTTAAATCACTTGTTTTGGGCGAAGCTCTTTAAACTATCATTCCATCCCTGCTCTTGATAAAACAAAGATTACTATCTCATTTTATATAGGTACATTGCATTTAGTTTGCAGCGCTTCAATCGAATTTGGTTCACGTTACTTTTGTACAGCGTTATCGGTTGCGTGGTCGGCTTGTTACTGGTCGTCATAAAGCTCCTTGAGAGTGAGGAATATTCATTCGATGTGTTAGACACTCTATTCAAAGCTCTGAGATTCTTTCCAGCACAAGGTACAAGATTTTGATCTGAAGGGTTTGAAAGGTATGAAGAGTTCAATATACAATTTTTCATTTAAAATCGTGTTCCTTGTGCATATGTTTTCATGCTGTGATGGTCAATGAACCTTTACTACAAAAATATATGCGCTCTGTAAAACGGAATATTTTCTTCGGTTTTTACGAATTAGTTGAAGCGTCAGCATTGTCCTATAAAATTTTTTTTCTTGAATGTGCTCAAGTCGCTTTGCGTCTGTTTGAAAGGCTGAATATTAAGATTATTTCTTGCAGTAAATAGTTTATAGCCGTTAAGCTGTTTGCTTTCAACGATTTTTTGGAGCCAGACTTAACACGTTCCGTTTAGAGTATCACGTTCATCGCGAGGCAGCTGCAACCTTGCGATTCTCTTAATCCCAATGCATAGTTTTATAAATGATTCTGTACAATCACAATTCCTGAGAATCCTGACTTAATTGCTCTGTACTAGAAAACTGTTTTGCTAACATCAATGCTCAATACGTGAGTGAATACTATGAAAAAGATGCGAAAGATCTGTCCCTGTAAATCGTTAGAATTATTTATTTCCGCGCCATTTTTTCACTGCTTCTATATCATATAAACAAGTATTTCAACATTTATATTGGCCTTCGAACTTGTTTTGCTTTTGTTGTATTTGATTATAATATTAAAGCAAAAATAGAAACCGTAAATGTAGAAATCTAAAGTATTTCCAAACAAAATATTTATAATTTATCTGATCCTTTTGTCTTGCATAATCCCATGCATGTGCTTTTGAATTATCATTGTGATTAGTCGTTATATATAAATATGACTCATTGTATGATAATGCATCTTTACACGTAGATATTCTTCATATTTTCCTACATTTTTAATTGATTAGATGTAAGAATGTTTTGGGAGCAAGCACGAACACGCTACATTACGTGCCGTATCATATTTTCTACTTTTTACTGAATTGTAGTAAAAATTTTAGCAACAACGATCTCGAAATATTATCCAGGTAGTACGTTTTGAAAGATCTTTTTCTTAGAGTATATATTTCACTATTGTCATATGTAAGGTTAGAAAACTGAACTGGTTGTTAAAATGTGACAAACACGCTGTGAATCATTAAATTCTTCACAGGTAACGAGTGGATGCAAATTATACGACACGCCTGCATGCCTGCATGTACACGTCATTAATGATAGGATTTTCCCGCACACGTTAATGTTTCCGGTAGTCTGTAGCGGCGTTTGTTGAATATATTGACAAAGAAACACTCGCAGCGACGTTAGACTGTTAAAGATTGTTTGTCATATTCCTCTCTTTTTGATGGTGAAAATAACGTGTGATATTTATTATCGACTATCAAAAATCGACAATAAGATTATAAATATTGTAGTGATGTATAAATTTTATGTTTTTTACAGTCTTAAAATATGCTGGAAAAGCAAAACTCATCTTCACTTTCGCATGTTTTACTTTGTCACACTTAAAGAATTCGTCATGTTTTTATAGTCAAAAAAATTATTTTACATAAAAAACTGGGATTTTTTAATGAGCAGCTCTACGCTAGACTCCAGTGATTCAAATCTGTCATTTATACTTTAACCACTACGATTTCAATAATTTTGGTAGATATTCCCTAAAACTCCAAACCATTTCCTACATTATAGAAGTAATGATGCATTATGGTTGTTTAATTTATTAATAATTTCCGTAATTTAAACCGACTTGCGGAACATTAGGAAGTTTTGTAAGAAGCAAAATTAAAAGTAAAATTGTTGTAATTCAAAGAAGTTATTAATCGTAAAGTCAACATTTAGGATTATTCAAATATCTAATGCTTGACTTAACCGTTTTTTTATTAAAAAAATACCGTTTTAACAGCACGTATGAACAGTTATTGCTCTTTATCAATTGAATGGAACTATGGGAGTTTAATGAATATGCTCTCCGGATTATGTCCGCCGTTAATTTTTCTTGAAAGAAAATCAAACACCATAATTTTTGATGCACGTGTTTTTGATGTGTATAGTAAGGCGTGATTGTACATCGTTAATGGTGATTTTTCTCACAATTAACTTGGGTGGCATGAAATGAGCGACACGACAAGCGTCATTTGAAAAGTTTGCTCCGGAAACGCAGAGCATGTGAACGTCCACAGCGATCTTTTGTGTTGTATGCAAATGTTAAGGAAATAACAACAAAGAATGCGTGTTGTTCAAGAGCTCGTAGTTTCAAATGCTCAAAAAGGAAACTAGGATGTCTTCGGGTTTTGTTTTAACATCATGAATATTTTAATTTTTAAGTGCACTTACCTGCTCTGATTGGCAGGTTTTTTGAATCTCGATTACTCCCAATACAATTGTTTTGGGCTATGACTCAAGCTTGTATAAAATTAAGTTTACTATCAGCGAGCTCTGCTGCTTGGTTTCATGACATAACACTACCGCTGCTGTATCGTTGAAGACAGTTTGTAAACACCTAAACGTGTTGAAAGACATCTGTTCGTCTTGTTGACAAACGTCTTATTATATCGGGAAATCGGCTCTGCTCAAAATTTCGACCAATAGAGAAGCATTTGAACATCGTAAGGACTTATTTAAAATGTACGTCTTTATGTAACGCTTCACTAATTTTAAATGACATGTATGAGAAACATGGGCTATTATATATTTATTATATTACTATATCAATAAATGGTTGAACTATAAATTTAGTTAAATATCTCATTATACTTTCGTAGGATTTGGTGGTAAAAATACGTTGAGTGAAATTTTACTTCATTTTGGTTCATTAGACTGCGTGAAATACAACGCTGTGAGATATACATACTTTGGCCATCGTTGACTACTTGGTGATAAATTGACTTCATCAAAGAAAGACAAAAATTCTTGAAAAACGAAAGAGACTGAAGACATATACCTTATATATAACTATACATAAAGTTCTTTGGTTTTTAAGTGCTCCGTATATTCTTCCAGTTTGCTTTTGAACTATGTTGAAGTTCGCAATCAAACGCAAAACTTTGGAACTATTTCACGAAGCCATCGACAACAAGGACTATCTACGCACAAAATTGCTAATCGAGAATTGTGATAAGCAAAAGTTTGTCGTTGATTCCTTGGATTCCAACGGTCTGACATCTTTGCAACGAAGTTGTTTTTTGGGAAACGTACGTATCGTTCGCTTGCTTGTTGAAGCCGGGGCGAATGTTTCTATCAAAGATAGCGAAGGATGGACGGTGCTACATGCTGCTTCAGTTGCGGGAAATTACGCTGTTGTCAAGTATCTTATGAAAATTGGGGTCGATCTCGAAGCAAAGACAGATCGTGGTGAATTGGCGCTCAATCTGGCTGAGAAGGACAATGTTGTGTTGTTATTGGTGAAAGGAATGATCCGTAAGGGACTATATGGGTACGTTAGGGTGTATTTTAAAAACAATCCCAAAACGTTCCAACGTATCATTGATGACTTGAAGAAGAAAGATAAACTGTGTAGTAGCCGTGTAAGACGTACGGCTGGACAACGTCCACATAGTCTAGAACTTCCAAAGGTGTCGAAAGTAGCGGTTGATCGTGAAAGTAATGTGAAAATTCCACGAAGCCCTGGTGAAGAAGGAGAACCACCACGTGGTACATTCCGAAGGTCACTCAAAGGACGTCGACCAACACCATCGCCTACCCGATGTATTGATGATGATCTATTATCAGACGATGAAGAGTTTGACCATGATCACGTGGTTCCATTGATGCCATCATGGATGTCTTCATCAATGTCGTCATCCTCCATGTCATCAAACTCTTCTATGACACCAACAATGCGATCACGTGATTGGCCTGATGTGATATACGCGGCTCATCGAAGTTCCCGTACGTCCTCGTCGTCCAGTCCTTCTGCCACATCGAAATGCGTAGAATTTGTGGTTCCCCTTGGTGCCTGCGATGTATCGAATGGCAGTGTAAAACAGGTGAGCAAATGGATTGATTCTGGTCAAATAAAGGTGAATTCCTTCAATCAGAATGGTGTAACACCTCTACACCAGGCTGCTTACGCCAATAACGTTCCAGTCATTGAACTCCTTTTACGTCGTGGAGCAGACATCAATAGACAATCAATTGATGGTTGCAGTCCCTTGCATGCTGCTGTTCAAGGGGGGAGCACTCGTGCAGTGTTGGTGCTTGTTGAGTATGGTGCTGATTTGTTTATTGAGAATGAAAGTGGCGCGTTACCAATTGAGGAGACTGAGAACGAGGGGATTATAGGCATTCTTCAACAGGCCATGACTCATAATTGATCATACTTTTTGCTTAGTTATGTAAAGTAAACAGTTAATTTTGGAATTGATGTTTATCGTTGAATTTTAAGAACTTTACTTCAATCTTAAAGACGAGCATGGCCGGAGTTCATAACAGTACTGCCTGGGCATCACAAAATATTTGATACTGAAGGAAACATTGACATTTCAAGTCTCTGATGTGATGATCATCATTGTGTGACTATCACGTTTCAGAAGCTGACAATGTTCAAAAACTCGTTTTTATTGAAACTTGAAATATATTTACGCACTCAAATTCCTTTTTGAGTTGATAATGATAACAGAATTCCTGTTTAATACGTTCTTATAAGCTTTAATAATTAGCAGTTTTGTTTTGACTGTGTTTGTTGCTAGTACTTTCTTCGGACTTGGTGTGCACAGAAATTTTTTTGTACACACAATCCTGATATCGTTACATTGGAAAAAAACAAAATATTATTTCTTTATGGTCACTTGGTGAGTCCAAACTTGCATTGGATATAATCCTACATTGCATTCCTTAAATCATTAGTTTATTTGTTTTCTGGGAACCTGCATGCACATGAAGCGAATGATCACCGGAACTACGCAGTTTAAATATTTCCAGGTTTAGTGTAAGCATGTTTGATCGTTATGTTTATTGATATTGATTACTTAAAGAGATAGAATTGTTGTTTAGGACAAACATGACTGGAGTTTAGCTTTTTGCATTACAATTGTTGCCAAAGATCTTATTCAGTTAGGTAAGATTGTCGTCTCTTATTGCATGATTTCAATCATGTATATTATACACGTAAAATGTTCAAGAGAGACTCGTCGTCATTGAGTTGAAAAGTAGCAAAAGCATTCATATGCATTACGCATCTAACTGTTATCAATAAAGTCTATGGCTAAAACATACAAGTTAGTTATAAATGTTTCGAACATTGCTATTGTAAAAATGATGTCACACTGTTTCCTGATTATTGTGTTTTAAAGTGGTTGAGTCGTGTCACGAGGAATTTTGTGTTGAATTATTCAGTGTAAGCTGAATTGACCTTATTAGGCTATGACCTTGACTGACTTTGTCATGGTATGGTATGACGTACGCACCACATGTTTATCGTACTGTTCATTGGCAAATTGATACGATTTGTTGACGTAGCTAACAAAGCCAGCCAATAAAAAACGCCGTTCCCAGAGGTATATATTTCGTCAATTAAACTAGACGCGTTTGTTTGCAATTGTCGAAGGCGAATGACCGAGAATTGTGGCGAAAGAATCAGTGGACCAAGCAACAGTTTTCCTCTGACTATGGGCGATAGCTCGTCATCGAAAGTCCAGCCAGTTTATATCAAAAATTATGATATACTTATATTTTTCCTTGAGGAAGAGCCCAAACAAGATGAACACAGAAGCTTCATTGTGCACAATTCTGGCATCGTCATAATGTCTCAGAAAGGACGTATACGAATTGCTCGCCACAATATAAACGTCGCGGATTTAGAAAATGCCGTTGATTCAAACGGAACTTCTATCCGCGGCGTAAAGGTCATTCGCCGTAAAAAGCTTCATGTGTTGGTTGCTGGGGGACAGCTAAACGTGTAAGCACAATTGCTCTTATCACAGGTCGGAATTTTGTCATTAGAACTTTTCGTGGTGGTGATGATTTAGCGTAATTTTCACGAGAGTTATCTATTGTTAAAAGTATATTGTTGTTCGTCTTGGTCGTAAAGGTATGGTTTCTTCGAAGTTAGAACCACATGATTTGACAACAGGTCGGAATTTTGTCACTTCGTTTGTCATTCAGTAAAGAACCTTGTTTCTATTACACGAGTTCCAGTGACAGCAGGGGCAGAAAAGTATCCAAAGAATGGTGTCATTTAATCTAAATCTTAGAGTACTGTCTGGTCACAGAATAGATACATACAGAAGGGCCACTCTCGTCGGAACCTTTGAAGATTTTGTTGTCAACTTTTAGCCCGCAATCAGGCATCGCCGCCATGTTGGCAGCAAGATAACTCCAGCAAGTTCGTAATAGAAAATATAGTAATGAGAAACAGTTCGGCGCGTCCTAGATAATTATATGGCTATTCCATTTTTGTTTTGTGTATGCCATCACGAGCAATGTCAAAGAAGGTAATTTTGACAACTTAGGTCGAATCGCATCGTTAGAATACACGTTTTAGAGTCAAAATTTGTTATTGTGGTCTGATGCTTTTGCCAACTTGCCAACATTCAATCATGGTTATGCTTGTATTGCGAGTTAGAATGAAAAGGATCATCAACTTTGTCTATGGAATTTTCCTTGTAGTAAGTTTGTAGAATGTTACAAATGCTTGACTTTAATGTACTTTCGCGATCTTTTATTAGAAGAAGAAAACTCGCGATTTGCAAATTGATGCCGTAATAAATTCGCATTCTTAAAAAAGTTTGACCAAATATTGCAGTGGAAACTGTGAACATGTACGGAATGGCACTGGTATCATGTTAAGACTCTTCAAGATGCTCTTTCCAACATTCAGATTTTTGGTTGTGACTGAGAAGCAATCCACGAAGGTGTCTTCAAGTTGCATAATGTAATTTAAATAGCACCATGAAGGAGCAGTCAGTCCACCAAAGTTGAGTTCTTTATATGCCTTGAAATAGCAAAGCAAATTACCATCATTGTTTATGTTATTTGAAGTCAAAACGTTCTTACATTGGAGACAGCTGTGGATTTTGAAAGCTTTGCTTAGCAAATATCCTGAAACATAGGCAGCAGCATTTTTGTGCAATAAATTGTTGCCAATATTTTGTTCTCGGTAGTCATTTTCACCAATCAACAGTGAGTTACTTGGAGCTTTTACATGGGTAAGTGGCATACTAAATGGTTTGGGCTTTTTTTTTGAAAATTGTATTAGCAGAGTGTCCATATCTTTAGAACAGTTTCCTTTGGAAGAGGTCAAAAGTGAACTAAAAAAAACCTTTCGAAAAGCTCTGATAAATTGTATTGGCGTGGGATTGTCAGAATTACCTCCTTGCTGGCTTATTGTTCCAAAAAAATTCTCTAGAGCATCTGTGTTTAATCTTCTGGTAAGCAAAAATGCAAAATTATGTGAGGCATGAAGATAGGTCCAGAGACAGATGATGGCCTTTATAGATATAAGCCATCCCTTCAGTGATTTGATTCTGCCTGTGATGTTTTTACCATCTTTTACCACTTTGATTCCCTGGATAAAGGACATTGCTTCTTTGAGAAAAGCAATGTGATTATTGCTGTTGCTTATTGCACTTCTTTGTTCTTTTGCTGATTTCAGTGTGGAACTATTGACGCAATCGAAAAGCGAATCAAATTTGAAAAGCAACTCAGCTGTACCTAAGGCTGATGGTGGTAGTGCTCCAATTGATGAATATGTGCAAATCGATGCAGCAACGGTGTGGCTGAATATTTGTGTAGCATATTTAACTTTCATCTTTTGGAAATTGGTGGGGTGAAGGTGCTTATCTGTAAGCTTAGGAGCTGCTCTAATTGATAGAGATTTATCTCTCTCATAAAAATTTTCAATGTCCTTCCAGCAAGCCGAATATTTTCCAAATTGAAAGGTGCTGTTCATGAGGTTATTTCTTGTGCACTTGAGCAGATGTGGAGGATCAAACATTAGAAATATTTTTCTTCCATTGTGAACAAACCATGGCTTCTCGTTGGTGACATTCAATTTTTGTGACATACTGTAGAAGTTGGACCCCATATCTGATATTACCACACAAATGTTCAACCCAATCAAATCAAGCTTGCGAATGACTTCTTTGATCAAATCTTGCAAAACATCAACTGGACAATATTCATTAATAAGTACATACCCCAAAGGTTGCTTCCAACCTCCAGATATGCTTCGCAGCATGAATACAAGACCTGATGTTGCCAATTTGTTTGTTCGATATCCACCAAAGTCCTCTACTCCAACAATCTTATCATCTGTGATGTTGTAGTAAAGGTGTGTTTTTAATGATATCTCATCAACACAAAGAGTGCACAGCTTTTCCATATCATTCATGTAACACACTTTTTCTTTCAACAGATTTAAGGTTGCCTGAGGAATACCAGCTGTTATTGGAATTCGTGAGACAAACCGTCTAATTGAAGACTTTGTTGGCAGAATAAACAGCTTGGAGAGGAGGCTATACACTTTGCCACTAGCATGATATAATGAAACTGCTAAGGACTTCATTTCTGGTGAGTACCTTCTTCCATGTTTTTTTGATGAATGTAACTTCAGTTGCAATTCTTTGAAATTAGCCAGGAGATTCGGTAATTTTTCAATTCAGCATAAATTGACTGTTTGGTTGATATGTCCTTTTTGGCAAATTTTCTAACTTTTGTATTAAGCCTTGCAATTATTTGCTGCTTTACTTTCAGCATTCTCCTTTGATTTTTTTCTAGGTGTGTCATTTGAAAGTGAGGAAGGTGTTTGACAGCAGAAATCTTTCATTACTGTGTCTTTTCCATCTGTTAAAATTCAAGATATTAAATAACTAAACAAATTTAAATTGTTTGGTTGAGATCATCTTAACTGCATGTGTCATATACCTTTTTCATTATGTGAATGTGGTTCATCTTTCACCGAAACAGTTGGTACATCATGTACTACAACACTTGACACCTCTGCCTCTGTTTTACGTCTTTTTGTGCCTAAAACTGAGTGTCTCTTAGTAAAAACTCCCTAATTTACTTCCATAATATAGTGAAATACCTAATTGACAATTACCTATTTCTTCCTTGTGAATTGCCCTTCGTTTCTGGCCAACAGCACGTGGTGGATTTGGAATATTAAATAATGTAGGCTTAGCCAGGACTTTTAATCGTGATTTTTCAAAGTTTAGAAACATACACTCTTCAAAGTGCTCTGCACACAGTTTGCAGTTATTATAGAGATAATTTGCAGTTTTATTTAACAAGTCCTGGCGTCTAGTGTTTTGAACCCATTCGTTTGATCTAAAGGCATGTGAATGTCATATAAATTTGTAAAAGTTTATCTTTACATTCAAAACTTACTACATATACTATTTTACCTCAATGGATCTCGCGGAAAACGAAAGAAGCTTAAGTCAGGTCGAGTTCTTTTGCTGTTAATGCAGTTTACTGCTGAACAATGAGTCCTTGCTCCACCTTTTAACTTCTTTTTGTCAGCCATTAGTGCGAATAAGTAAATATCAAAGACTGACTATTATAAATGTGATTAGTTTAGCGAAAATATATTATTAGTTAACTAGTTTGTGATCTTTGTAAAATGCCTTACTCATACCACAGAATAGATACATATGTATCTATTCTGTGCTCATACATGCATGTGTATGTTAACCACAATAACAGGAAAAGCTTACGTATAGGACGTGGTCAACCTACTGACTGCAGACAACGTACAGGACGTGGTTAATCAACTGACCACAGTTTACGTCATTGTACGATCACTTATAAGTGATGAAACGAAAGCTGTAGTTATGTTGGTGCTTAGCACAGAATAGATACATAGAAGTATCTGTGGTGCTCAGTAGAAGTCCACATCAGAAGAAAGCCTCATGTAAAAGAAAACGAACTATTTACGAAAACAACCAAAGAATCCAGATATATATCCAATCCATCAACGAATGAGTCACTGAAAGCAGTTGTCTTAGATAACTTTGAACATTTACACGTATTATAACGTTTATTAGCTACAATCATACAATATAAGAATTTTCCCAACACAATATGGCATTGGCTTTAAATACAATTGCACAAGTTTGCAATTTCTCAATGAACATTTATCGAATGTTCGGGATATGACTAAATTTGTCTGAATTCTAAAGCACCAAATCCAATGTCATACGAAATATCTTTTTTAGTGTAGCCCGTCCGTTGATATATTTCACATTGTTCCTTCTTGTTTCTGATTTAAAGACGTTCGTTAAGCGCTTTTCCGCTCCCGTTCTTTACAAATAAATAAATACGAATAACCTTGACCACACGGCCACGGCACAGCATTTCTCATACAGGTCTCGATAGAATTGTACACATTGGATGTACATGAAAAAGCATAAAAATATGTTGATTGTATGTTCCCATTTCAGCACAGCTTTCATTTGGTCGTCTCAGGATAAATATTTCAACTTTTCAAGTAATAACGCCAAGATTTTTGAGTTGTACATTGCTACCCTTATTTAGTGTAGCAAGTTTATCTTGCTGCCAACATGGCGGAAGTGGCGCATGCGCATTAAAATTTAGGACCGCATTTTTCGCGAAGTGGCCCTTCTGTATGTATCTATTCTGTGGTCTGGTGTTCCGAATGTCCTTTTATCATACCGTGTTGCTCAATTATTCTTGTCCACAATATGTATTCCAATTTTGAAGAAGCAACTTTGTTAGCCCATCCTACGTGAGCAACTTTTCATTATTTGGAGGCAATGTGTTGTGTGGTGTAACGATTGTATCAGTCGAGTGGCTGATAAAACCAAAGTTGTATAAATGAAGATGGACATCAAAGATTTGTTTCGACATTATTCTTTAAGCTGTGCGTCTGACAGTTCTACAAGGTGCTTGTTCAACTATTGCTAATTCCATCTGGAGGTAACGAAAACAGTGAATCTTTTTGAAACAGATGAACGACCACCTGAGTAGATATAATTGTGGTATCGTAATAATCAAGGATTATTTTAAAAAGCGAAGATTTTCAACGACATTGTAATGTATCAAATAAATATAAGTAACAATGGTTCAGTCATCTTTTTAGCAACAGTCGAAATTCGTTGTCCATGGTTTAAGGTGAAACAGCATTTTGTCTTGACTGGAAGGACATTGATATTTAGAGAGAAAAGTTCCAAATTTTTTTATTAAGAACAGGTCGGAATTTTGTCCTAACGAACACTTGCACGATTAAAGAGCTTTTACGACAGAACAGCTGAATGTTCGTGCACAAAGTTTCGTTACATTTTATTGTATTAAACTTTATTGATTTATACATTATGAAACAAATGTTCATACTTTCATATATTACAGTTTCTTTTAGAAAGAGTAACGTTTTATTATTGAAATGAACCTTTCTTGCAACTCAAGTAAATGTTATCTTATTGGTTTTCTGTTTGTAAAATTGTTGTAACTATAAATAAACTACTTATCTTGGTTTTTACCAATGTAGCCATGTAGATTACAATTGGATAAAGATGTTAGTTGTAAGCTTAATGAAACGATGTTATATACATAATTGCACAGTCTCTTGTAAACTCGAAAAACTTACACGAAATTTTCAAATATTTTCTATAGACGATTACATTAGCTAGGAGAGGGATTGGCGACAATAAAACATGCTTTTGCTTAACATAAACTCTATAGAAAGCACCAATGCCTGGAATTTAATAGCAGAGAAAACAAACTGTTTGACTTTACGACATGTTATGGTAAAAATAACGTGTTGGTTAATTCGTTTGTTTTACTAACTTTAAAACAGACTATCTGTTTTTCTTTAAGAGTTTGTCCTTCCTTAAATAGTATATATACGATCAAGGTACAACGTTAAATGGTGTATAATGCACTGTGCAGCTGACGAGCTTACAGATAAATAAAATTTTAGTCCATCTAGAAAGTTCTCCATACATACATGCCTTACGCAACTTGCATTCCTTTATATCACGAGTTTATTCGTCTTCTTGGAAGTGAGCATGCATGAGTCATGTGACTACACCGGAACTACGCAGTTAAAATTATAAGCTGTAAAGACAGCGAAGGAGAAGGTTGTCCGTAAGAAATTTCCACAAAGTTTCGATGAAATTTTTTGTCATGGAAGATGTTTTTGAGAAATCTTCTGTTGATTCTAAATCTGAGAACGATACCATTCGATGTGGAAAGCATCCGTGTTTTAAAAGATCAAGCGATGACAGTAAAGAGATGGTTTATTCTGTTGAACGATTAGAATCTCGACAAAGCTCGCTCAAAAACTATGGTGATCTTAATGTCATATTTCTCAAAAACTCTTTGGGAATTTTAACTTATGATGTCAAAGTAAAAAATCTTCGTGGAACAGTCGTCATTTCGTTCAATCCTATCATAAAGTTTGCTGTTGACAAAGATGTAACAATATGGGATATAGGAGAAAGAAGAGTTAAATGGGAAAAAATTGACTGCGTGACTAGCAATTTAAGCGAGTCTGGCGTTACTCGCAACTCAAATATATCTGTCGTTACTCGCAACTCAAGAAAATCTGTCGTTACTCGCAACTCAAGAAAATCTGTTGAACGTGTGGATTCTCTTCAAACATCGTTCCAGAATCATGGTGTTCTGATATTTGTCTTGTGTGAAAAGATTATTGGAAAAGAAACTTTCAATATCAACATAGAAAATGATAGTGGAGACGTGATCATTTCGGAAAATCTCGTCATCAAAATAAATGAAAGCAGAAAGTTAAATATCTGTGATGTAGAAAATATGATTCAATATGAAGATGACAATAATCTCGTTACTCGCAACTCAAATTCTTTTATCCGTGAGAATTGATAAAAATATCATTGTACCACAATATTTGTCGTGCTTAAATCATGACGTAAGCACAATACTTGAATTTATTATAAAATGTACAGAGATATTCAGTTTTAAGTGTATAGCTACTCATATATATTATGAACATTTATCTTCGACGTCGAACTTATTACAATGTAGAAATTACTCCAATAGTTCATGGTTAGATTTATAACGAAGTTATTTTAGTTGATTAAGTTTTTTATTAAAATATAACATTTTATACTGAAGTAGAATTTAACTTCTTCCCTTGGCCATGCTATATGAATCATCAATTTAGCAATTGCTATTCGATTTTCATTTGAGTAGATTTTAGTATTAAATATCAATTGTCAACCTCATTCCAACATTCCAAATCACACAATTACGTATGGCATACTTAGAGCCATTTAATTAAACTGGGAATTTTACTGCCACGTTTCGCCCTTGTGTTCACCAACATAGTTAACTTTGACCGACTTTGTGGTTCGTGGCAATCACATGACATGTGAAGAAGAAATTGTCCAATCACGTTGAAGATTTAATCACACCGTAGAAGGTGTGGCGATTGAACTTTGCGCAATTAGATATATGAAGTGTGATCAGGTGTTGATTCATCATTCAGTTTGCTAGCCAGTTGGGAACAACTGGACAATAATTAGGAGCTTAGAGTCGTCATTTTAAACTGACAAAAAATAGTAAGCTTTTCATTCAGTAAAGATCATCTGGCATGTCTTGTCTCTGGAGTCAGTTCTACAGATGCCAGAATGCAACTGAATCAGACATGTACGATGAACGAAAAGAGATGACTGGTAACGAACAGGCTTATGGAGCAAAAATACGACAAGCGTTGTTTCAAATTTATATCTTTCTCATTTTCTTGTCTCGTGAAAAGGCATTTGAATATGACGTGGTTGTTCTCGCAACTCAAGATTCTGTATCGTTAAACTGGAAGGAAGCCTTTCCTAAAGCGACAGGTCGTCAGCCATTGAAAGAGTCAAAAGACATTCACGCTCAAGTAGGTCGTGTATGGAAAGCACAATTCCAGTTTTCATTAAAAAAAATATGAACAATTAATAAGCGTTACTTGCAACTCAAAGCGGACACAACTGCGTTATTTTATCCCAAAGAAGTTTAACAAATTGAACATATTGAACATATTCAAGTTTACAAATATGTTCAATAAACTTGCTGACAGCGTATGCTCTTAGATTTTGAAATTCTTAAGAACTGTAAAAATATGCATCATGTGTTTAATAATCGGTATTAAACTTGTTTTTAATGTTATTGTAAGGTCTCTACTCTGGCATTATTGGAGACATTTTTTGGCACATTTTTACATCCTTTTGAATGTAAAAAGTTCTCCAATATTCTTTATAGCTGTAATTACCCTTACTAAACACTAATGCATCTAAGTTGATCGCACAGAACGTAAGGAATTTCATTTTTCGAAATGTTATGGATGAAATAATGTACTGTCTTAAATCCTCTTGCAATGAAGTCTTTTTCTCTCTTTTTTACTGACCGAGATAATCTCTAATATTGTGTCTCCTAATGATAATATCTAATCACTTAATGTATTGTGTAAAATAGTGATAAATAAATCGTGAAATTAAATTGCCTCATAAACAAATATAATTTTCATTAAAAGTCCATCTAGAAAGTTCTCCTTTCATGTGATGCAACTGTCTTACGCAACTTGCGATCTTTAATATCACGAGTTTATTTTTTCTTCTTGGAAGTGAGCATGCATGAGTCATGTGACTACACCGGAATGCAGTTAAAATTATAAGCTGTAAGACAGACAGGAGAAGGTTGTCCATGAGAAACTTTACAAACTTTAGACGAAATTTTTGTGTCATGGAAGATGTTTTGAGACATCTTCTGCTGATTCTAAATCTGAGAACGATACCATTCAATGTGGAAAGCATCCGTGTTTTAAAAGATCAAGCGATGACAGTAAAGAGATGGTTTATTCAGTCGAACGATTAGAATCTCGACAAATCTTGCTTAGAAACTATCGTGATCTTCATGTCATATTTCTCAAAAATTCTTTGGAAACTTTAACTTATGATGTCAAAGTAAAAAATCTTGGTGGAACAGTCGTCATTTCGTCCAATCCTATCATAAAGTTTGCTGTTGACAAAGATGTAACAATATGGGATTTAGGAGAAAGTACAGTTAAATGGGGAAAAATTGACTGCGTGACTTGCAATTTAAGCGAATCTGGCGTTACTCGCAACTCAAATAAATCTGGCGTTACTCGCAACTCAAATAAATCTGGCGTTACTCGCAACTCAAATAAATCTGGCGTTACTCGCAACTCAAATAAATCTGGCGTTACTCGCAACTCAAATAAATCTGGCGTTACTCGCAACTCAAATAAATCTGGCGTTACTCGCAGTAAATCCGGTTAAACTCAATAATCTGGCGTTACTCGCAACTCAAATAAATCTGGCGTTACTCGCAACTCAAATAAATCTGGCGTTACTCGCAACTCAAATAAATCTGGCGTTACTTGCAACTCAAATAAATCTGGCGTTACTCGCAACTCAAATAAATATGGCGTTACTCGCAACTCAAATAAATCTGGCGTTACTCGCAACTCAAATAAATCTGTTGTTACTCGCAACTCAAGAAAAACTTTTGAACGTGTGGATTCTCTTCAAACATCGTTCCAGAATCATGGCGTTCTCATATTTGTCTTGTGGGAAAAGATTATTGGAAAAGAAACATTCAATATCAACATAGAAAATGATAGTGGAGACGTGATAATTTCGGAAAATCTCGTCATCAAAATAAACGAAAGCAGAAAGTTAAATATCTGTGATGTAGAAAATATGATTAAATATGAAGATGACAATAATCTCGTTACTCGCAACTCAAGTTCTTTTATCCACGAGAATTGATAAAAATATCATTGTACCACAATATTTGTCGTGCTTAAATCATGACGTAAGCATAAGACTTAAATTTATTATAAAATGTACAGAGATATTCAGTTATAAGTGTATAGCTACTCATATATATTATGAACATTTATCTTCGACGTTGAACTTATTACAATGTAGTAAGTACTCTAATAGTTCATGGTTAGAATTATAACGAAGTTATTTTAGTTGATGAAATCTCTTGTTAAAATATAACATTTTATACTGAAGTAAAACTGAACTTCTTCCCTTGGCCATGCTATATGAATCATCAATTTAGCAATTGCTATTCGATTTTTCAGTTGAGTAGATTTTAGTATTAAATAACAATTGTCAACCTCATTCCAACATTCCAAATCACACAATTACGTATGGCATACTTAGAGCCATTTAATTAAACTGGGAATTTTACTGCCACGTTTCGCCCTTGTGTTCAACAACATAGTTAACCTTGACCGACTTTGTGGTTCGTGGCAATCACATGACATGTGAAGAAGAAATTGTCCAATCACGTTGAAGATTTAATCACACCGTAAAAGGTGTGACGTCTGAACTCTACGCAATTAGATATATAAAGTGTGATCAGGTGTTGATTCATCATTCAGTTTGCTAGCCAGTTGGGAACAACTGGACAGTAATTGGGAGCTTAGAGTCGTCATTTTAAACTGACAAAAAATAATAAGCTTTTCATTTAGTAAAGATTATTCAGTTAAAGATTATCCGGCATGTCTTGTCTCTGGAGTCAGTTCTACAGATGCCAGAATGCAACTGAATCAGACATGTACGATGAACGAAAAGAGATGACTGGTAACGAACAGGCTTATGGAGCAAAAATACGACAAGCGTTGTTTCAAATTATATCTTTCTCATTTTCTTGTCTCGTGAAAAGGCATTTGAATATGAAGTGGGTGTTCTCGCAACTCAAGATTCTGTATCGTTAAACTGGAAGGAAACCTTTCCTAAAGCGACAGGTCGTCAGCCATTGAAAAGAAGAGTCAATGGACATTCACACTCAAACAAGTTGTGTATGGAAAGTACAATTCCAGTTTTCATTACTTCATTAAGAACAAACTGCTAAGCGTTACTCGCAACTCAAAGACACAGATTTGTTATTTTATTCCATAGAAAATACGTGAATCGGAATAATGTAGTAAATACAATGTAGATAATTTCTAAGCGTTACGTGCAACTCAAGGACACAGACTTGTAATTTTATTCCATAGAAAATACGTGAATCGGAATAATGACATTGAATAAACTTGCTGACAGTGTATTATTTTTGATGGTTTGAATTCTTCAAAACTTAATTGTTTATAACTTTTGTAAAATGTGAATAATTTGTTAATCGGTGTCAAACTTATTTAATGTTATGGTAAGGTTTCTTTTTCCGGCAATTTTGGAAACAGTTTTTTGGCTTGTTGTCATTTTTACGTTCATCTGGTTCTCCAATGTAATTTATAGCTATATTTCACCATATTAAACACAATTGCATCAAAGTTGATCGTACAGAACGTAAAAAATTTATGTAATGTCTTAAATAAGTTGAATTCCTGATACAATAAAGTCTTTTCTTTTACTAGATGGGATATTTTCTAAGATTGTGTCTCAAATTTTGGTGATAAAACAAATACAATTTTAATTTTAAAAGTCCATCTAGAAAGTGCTCCATTCATGTGATGCAACTGTCTTACGCAACTTGCATTCTTTGATATCACGAGTTTATTTTTTCTTCTTGGAAGTGAGCATGCATGAGTCATGTGACTACACCGGAATTACGCAGTTAAAATTATAAGCTGTAAAGACAGCGAAGGAGAAGGTTGTCCCTAAGAAATTTCCACAAAGTTTCGATGAAATTTTTTGTCATGGAAGATGTTTTTGAGAGTTCTTCTGTTAAATGTAAATCTGAGAACGATGCCATTCAATGTGGAAATCATCCGTGTTTTAAAAGATCAAGCGAAGACAGTAAAGAGATGGTTTATTCTGTTGAACGATTAGAATCTCGACAAATCTCGCTCAAAAACTATGGTGATCTTAATGTCATATTTCTCAAAAATCCTTTGGGAATTTTAACTTATGATGTCAAAGTAAAAAATCTTGGTGGAACAGTCGTCATTTCGTCTAATCCTATCATAAAGTTTGCTGTTGAGAAAGATGCAAACATATGGGACTTAGGAGAAAGTACAGTTAAATTGAAAAAAATTGACTGCGTTACTAGCAATTTAAGCGAATCTGGCGTTACTCGCAACTTAAATAAATCTTTCGTTACTCGCAACTCAAGAAAATCTGTCGTTACTCGCAACTCAAGAAAAACTTTTGAACGTGTGGATTCTCTTCAAACATCGTTCCAGACTCATGGCGTTCTCATATTTGTCTCGTGTGAAAAGATTATTGGAAAAGAAACATTCAATATCAACATAGAAAATGATAGTGGAGACGTGATCATTTCGGAAAATCTCGTCATCAAAATAAATGAAAGCAGTAAGTTAAATATCTGTGATGTAGAAAATATGATTCAATATGAAGATGACAATAATCTCGTTACTCGCAACTCAAATTCTTTTATCCATGAGAATTGATAAAATATCATTGTAGTACAATTATAAAATGTACAGAGATATTCAGTTATAAGTGTATAGCTACTCATATATATTATGAACATTTATCTTCGACGTTGAACTTATTACAATGTAGTAATTACTCCAATAGTTCATGGTTAGAATTATAACGAAGTTATTTTAGTTGATGAAATGTCTTGTTAAAATATAACATTTTATACTGAAGTAAAATTTAGCAATTGCTATCCGATTTTTCAGTTGAGTAGATTTCAGTATTAAATAACAATTGTCAACCTCATTCCAACATTCCAAATCACACAATTACGTATGGCATAATTAGAGCCATTTAATTAAACTGGGAATTTTACTGCCACGTTTCGTCCTTGTGTTCAACAACATAGTTAACCTTGACCGACTTTGTGGTTTGTGGCAATCACATGACATGTGAAGAAGAAATTGTCCAATCACGTTGAAGATTTAATCACACCGTAGAAGTTGTGGCGATTGAACTTTGCGCAATTAGATATATGAAGTGTGATCAAGTGTTGATTCATCATTCAGTTTGCTAGCCAGTTGGGAACAACTGGACAATAATTGGGAGCTTAGAGTCGTCATTTTAAACTGACAAAAAATAATAAGCTTTCATTTAGTAAAGATTATTCAGTTAAACATTATCTGGCATGTCTTGTCTCTGGAGTCAGTTCTACAGATGCCAGAATGCAACTGAATCAGACATGTACGATGAACGAAAAGAGATGACTGGTAACGAACAGGCTTATGGAGCAAAAATACGACAAGCGTTGTTTCAAATTTATATCTTTCTCATTTTCTTGTCTCGTGAAAAGGCATTTGAATATGAAGTGGGCGTTCTCGCAACTCAAGATCATGTATCTTTAAACTGGAAGGAAACCTTTCCTAAAGCGACAGGTCGTCAAGTATTGAAAGAGTCAAAAGACATTCACGCTCAAGTAGGTCGTGTATGGAAAGCACAATTCCAGTTTTCATTAAAAAAAATATGAACAATTAATAAGCGTTACTTGCAACTCAAAGCGGACACAACTGCGTTATTTTATCCCAAAGAAGTTTAACAAATTGAACATATTGAACATATTGAAGTTTACAAATATGTTCAATAAACATACTGACAGCGTATGCTCTTAGATTTTTAAA